CGGGACGGAAAGAGAGGGAGAGAGAGTGTGTGTGTGTTCTGATGCACAGCAAAAGGTGCAAGCGGAGTCAGTAAGATGCAAGGGGAGTCAGCAAGATGCAAGGGGAGTAAGTAAGGTGCAGAAAAAAATTCTCAAAGGTGCAAGAGGGCTCAGTACCTGTACAATGAGATGGGCTGCTGCCACATCCCATGGCTGGAGGCACTCGCAGGTGGGTAGGGGTGGGCAGGTGAGTATGGGAGAGCAGGTGGGTAGGTGTGGGCAGGTGAGTATGGGAGAGCAGGTAGGTAGGTGTGGGCAGGTGAGTATGGGAGAGCAGGTGGGTAGGGGTAAAGGGTGGGGAAACGAGACAGCGGTATGGTGAATTATGTGTTGATAACTCATCATGTCACTGAGCTAAAGAGCTTACGAGCGTACTGGGAACACAAGGGGCTTGTTTTGAACTAGTCGTGGATTTATGAGGTGCGGCATCCGTTACGCTTCTTCGTTCTTGCAGTGCAGGTGGCTTTTGAGTATTCTCAAGAGTTACCTGCTGCCACGTAGCTCATATGCAGAGCCTGGGACCGGGAGGGGGGACGGGGAGAGGGACGTGGAGAGGGAGAGGAAAGGGAGAGGGGATATGGGTACGGTGGAATCATGGGATGAGAATAACTATGGGATGAGAGTAACCATGGGATGAGAATAACCATAGGATGAGAATAACCATAGGATGAGATTATTGGGGGAATGGAAAATATGAAGGGAGCACACTAACGGACAGCATTGGTTGCTGTGGTGTAATACGCAGATGCTGTGGCATGCTTTAGTGTATCAACAGACCATCCAAACCATGCCATGCCGCATCACACATCCTCACCCGGCCCTCCTCCCCCAGTCAAGGTTCCCCATTCCCCATTCGCCCATTCCCGATTCACCCAACACCGTTTCCCACCACGGATCCAAAGGCTCTCATGGTCATAGCGTGTGGTGCCACTGCCGCCACTGCCTCTATCATTCGCTGCCGCTGCTCTGGCTGCATGGAGGGCAAGAGGAGGGGAGCGGAGGGAGGAGGGGAGGAGAGGGGAGACGCGTGAAGGAGGAAAGGAGGGAAGGTGAAAAGAGGAGGTTGAAATAGAGCACAGGGGATGTGGATGGCAGATGATAGCTCACAGCAAACGAAATAAACATACACAGCTACCAGGCACCGTTTTTTACCCGATATAGGATCATGTGCGCTTCTAGCGTAGGCGGAAGAATCATGGGTGCAGCTATATTATCTTGTCACTTATTGTAGTTCATATAGTCAGAGCCTCACTCTGTTTGATAACTCATAAGTTCACAACTCCCTACAAACCTCAAAACCCTGTTACGGTTCTCCGTCCAGCGAAATTTGTTCGCAGACGTTCTTTTCACGATGCCAGCAACCTGGCCTCCAATGTCAGACATTCTGCACCTCGCACACAGTCGCACAATCAAGCATTGGTTCCCTGGCCATGGTCAACGAGCCACAGTTGACGTTTGAGTTACAGTTTTCTTGTACTCTGCCCAATTTGTGTCGGCTCGCCGGCAATTGATGGCGCAACAACGCTCCCGCTCGGCACACGCTCTCACGTTCTGAACTGTTTCAAGGGCAACTTCCAACGGCCCCTGTCCTTGAAGTTAGATAACCATCGCAGGCGTCGCCAACCACAATCGCACACATCCACCCGCACTGACGGCTGGCGGGAATATGTCTTTCAAAACCACGCGCTGCGCGTCTCAGCCCAAAGCTCTGGCGCGGTTCGGCAACGCGGCCCACCAAATGGGAACACCCACCTCCATGATTTTTTTTCATGTGCGCCCAGGACTGAAAACGGACAGGTGACCGCCGCGAAAAAAACATGAAGTCGCCTCGGCACGCGTCGGTTGCGCTTGACACCTCCAACATCCAGTCGCGTGTTGGAGTGCGATCATTCAACGGCTTGTGGAGTTTGGTGCCAGCAAACTCTGACTCGATCACTTATAGCTGATCATTATTTTTTTATGCACGGCAAGTAGAGCAGCAGCAGCAGGACCATCACCTTGAATCAGGTTGCCCTTCATTTCAATACCACCGCCCCATCTATTATCCTCGTCCTAATTTTCATTGCTTTTCAGGAGACTTGGCTTCAGTAGACGCTTGTTCTAAATAGACCAGACCTGTAGGTTTGAAAGGGTCTCAGGCTAGTAAACAGCAGCCATGGCTGCGGCGTGCGTGTTCCTAGCCCTCATGGCGTCTCTGACGGTTGTCTCAGCGCAGGCGCCAACCGCGCCAACGGTGGTCGTGCCTCAAACGGCAGAGGGAATGAGTACGCTCACTAACAGCCCTAACTGCTGGGAATTCACGCTAATCTCACTTCTGTTGTCCGAACAGCCGGCCATCCTGTACCTACCAATCCCATCATCAATTTCTTCCCCATAAACTCACAATCACAAATAAGCTCGTCGACACCCACTGCCTCCAACGTTTTGCGACTATTCCCTTCATACCGTCCCTCAACTTCCTTCTTCATCCCGTTCCCCCCAACAGGCAAGGTCCTTTTCCCCAACTTCAACGACATAACCATGGTGACTCTCTTCGGCAGCGCGCAGCAGAACAAGGCGGCCGGCACCATCAAACTCACCAGCCAGCCGCATTCCGCGGGCGGCGTCATCCTGCGCACGCCTCTCCTCCTCCTCGACAAGAAATTCGCCAATTCGACGACTTGCAAGCCTCTTGCTTGGCGCTCCGTCTTTCAGTTCAAGTCGTCCGGCAACGCTGATGGCTTGGCGTTTGTAATCTGGTCCAAGCTGCGGAACCTGGGCTCGCCGGACGGCTACCTCGGGTACGGCGGGCCGGCGGTTCGTTATAAGAAGTCTCGCAGCATGGCTGTGGAGCTGGACATGGCGAAGAACACGTGGGATCCGAGCGCGACGCACGTGGGGATCAACACCCGCGGCAGCATGAAATCCCTCGCGTGGAGGGTGCTTCGCGCGCCTTTGAACGATTCTATCCCGCGGCGCGCGTGGATCGAGTACGACGGGCAGTCGCTCAGCGTGTCGGTGGGGAAGGGCTCGAGGAAGCCCAAGGCGCCGCTGCTGCGCTACGCGATTAACACGTGCAACGCGCTGAAGCAACCCGGGTACTACGTCGGCATCACCGCGTCGAATGCGGGCGGCCAGTCCACGAATGAAATCCTCGCCTGGAGCTTTTCCGCTTCCCGTAAGTGCTTAGTATATACAGGAAAAGAGCAGCAATTTTGTGGTCAAAACTGGCGCGTGTGTGGAAGCTGGCGACCGTGCGGTCCCCAAATAACATCCGAACTCGTCAACCCGTTCCGTATGCCACACGTCTACAACCTCTGTGCGCTAGGCGCGTTCGTTCCCGCAACCTAATCCGTTCCTCGTCTTCTTCTCCCCCCTCCTACCGCCTGCCCGTAGCCTCTACGTCGCTGTGCCCCATGTGCGGGAGTGTGATGAACCCCAAGAAGAAGGTCAGCTGCTGCATGCCGTTCCAGTGCTGCAACGGCGTGTGCCTCGCGCCCACCGAGCTTTGCGCCGGCACCACCTGCTGCGGATCGGTAAGCCAACCAGCCTGCAGTAACCCCGTGCCCCGTTGATCCCTGCTGTTGGGAAATCCCTGATGTTGTATATCTGGGCGTCGTTGTTTTGGTTTGCCGTGCGGGTTTTCCTTCTTGTCCTAATCGCTTGTTGTTTCCATTCCTTTTGTCGCGTTTTCTTTTCTCTGTTGAATTGCAGCCCGATAGCGGCCGCGTGTGCTGGGGCGTGAAGTGCTGCAGTGTAACGAGCCTGTGCATGACGAAGCAAAAGCAGCCCGTCTGCTGCCCGCAAATCGGAAACAGCACGTGCTGCATGTAAGGAGGATGTCGTGTTCGCGGCGAGGATGCACAGTACCCATACGCTCACTGGACTTCTAGACACATCAAACATAATGTCTAAGAAATGGACAGCACAATTGAGTTACAGCAGCAGCAGAAGCAGTAGTAGTAGCAGCAGCAGCTGTCATAGCAGCAGAATCAGAGCTGCTGTCCCTGCAGGCCTAAACATAATATACACAAATAGTTAATTCTTGACAGTTAGCTTACACGTGGCAGAGGCTTGTATGCTTATGCCACAGACCACCAGGACATAGGTAGTTTGATCTGTCTTCCACCTTTTGTCCAAATAAATACACATTTAGTACACCGTCCATGTGCCTGATAATACGTATAACAGGCAGTTCCTCGGCCTTGTGCTGCTTATGGTAAAGCCAATGCGTGTAGATGCTGTAGTTGCATGTTACCACATGTTCCATGCATCATAGCATGGCCCACTTGTGAAGCCACAGCACAGCTCAACCTGCCCTAAACATTGAGATGTGATTTTGTAATTTCCTCTTCCTGTTGCAAAATCAAACAGCCCCCCCCAACTTCTTGACAGGTATGGAAAATCCAAGAACGTCACACTTCTCTAGACAAATATCGTAGAATAAAAGCTCCCCTTCCCCCCCACCCCCCCCCCCCCCCCCCTCCCCCCCTCCTCTTCAAGCTTAGAGACTAGAAGAGGTTTATGGATTAGGATTGCCCAAACATGTACTTCTCAGGTCCACTAGGGCTCACACTGCGATGTTTTTTTTCTTCTGGAAAAGGAACAACACTTGAATCATTTTTCGGAAGGGAATATAGTTAATATACTGCCCTGCCTGCCACCCACTTCTCCACTTCCTCAACCTCATGGAATTTTGGCCAATGAGATGGCCCCCTCCCCTGCATGATTCCAGTGGGAGCTGCTATGGTACCGGTATTATTGCTGAGAACTCACATTCGCGACCCTTTGAAGGTCAGCAACACATCCTAGTAAAAAAAGGTCAGTGTCATGGGTTCCCCTGGTGCTACCGTAGATTGTTTTGTACCATGCCACAAGACACACCCCTTTTACTTGCTAAATGAAAATATCATAAACCCGAAGGTCTTTATATGGGGGATTAGAATCCTAGAGAACTTTCTTGCTGGATCAGAAAAGGGGGGTTACATTACAATGCATGCACGTGCAAGCACATCGTTGGCAGCACCTGAGCACTTAGAACATGATGGAGTTGCATTTACAAAGTTAGCACCACCCAACAATATGGTATCAGAGATATTCCGAATTTCTTCCTTTGAACACAGCGCAAAAAGCCTCTAGCCACTTGCACCGGCCTCTAGGAAGCTCCACCGGCAGGCACTGCTGCTGGGAAGAGAACACGGTGGGAGGGAGCTGAAGCTGCTACTGATGCTGATGCCGATGCTGGTGTTGCTCCTGCTGGTGCTGGTGCTGCTGATACTGCAGAGGACAGCATCACCACATCTTCATCCGCTTCCCTACCAAGTGTCCTGTCCCTTTCCTCCACCTCTCTCAACTCCTCTCCAGCAGCAGCGCCACCACCAGCAGCAGGTGATGCAAAGAGCACAGCAGTCAGTTGCTGAATCTCTTCCACTCTCATGGCTGGGTTGAGCAATCGAGAGGAAGGGCCGCGGCGCGGAGGGAGAAGAGGAGGCTCAGGCAGAGTGTGCAACTGATGCTCCTCCTGTAGTTTCTGCTGTTCCTCCTCTTCCTCCTGCTCAAGCTCCTGCTCCTGCTGCTGCTCCTGCTGCTGCTCCTGCTGCTGCTGCTGCTCCTGCTCCTGCTGCTGCTCCTGCTGCTGCTGCTGCTCCTGCTGCTGGTGCTGCTGCTGCTCCTGCTGCTGCTCCTGCTCCTGCTGCTGCTGCTGCTCTGACGTCTGCTTTGAATCGCAACAAGCTTCTCGCTCTTGCTGCTCACCGGACAGTTTGACAGAAGCGTACTGATCCCCTGTCCCCATCCCCATTTCCGCTGCTTCCTGATGATCCTTCTCCAAACTTCTCCCCTCCCCATGAAGACACATAGCCATCGCACTTCCTTCAATAGCCAGTACTACTCCACGTTCTCTGTCTTCAAAAGCAACCAGCTCTCCCCTATACTTTCCGCCTTCCCTGTTAGTCCCATCTCCCCAGTTAATCCCCTCTCCCCTGTTAGTCCCACCTCCCCTGTTAATCCGGTCCCCCCTGTTAATCCCATCTCCCTTGTTAATCCCCCCTTTCAGCCTCCTCTCACCATCCCTTTCCGCACGGGTATTATCGTTGTCGCCGAAAATACGGCTACCGCTGTTGCCACCGCTGTCGCTGCTGCTGCTGTTGCTGCTGCTGGGACCGTTGCTGCTCGTGGTACTAACGCCCATGCTGCTGCTGCTGCCGCTGCTGTTCCAACTGCCGATACTCTTATCCAACCCCGAAGGAAAAACCACATTTGGGGCATTATGGCATGCAAGTGCCGTAGTGAGCGAATCAGAATCCAGTTTGGGATGTGGAATCCTGCCCTGTGTGTAGGGATGTGTAGGCGCATTCGACGCAAGAATGTGTAAGTCAGATGGAGGCGGTTTCGCAGCAGCGGCAGCAGAAGCAGCGGCAGTCGAAGTAGCGGCAGCAGAAGCAGCGGCAGCAGCAGTAGCGGCAGCAGTAAGAAACGGAGGAGGAGGGGAAGGAGAAGGAGAAAGAGCAGCAGCAGCAGTGGCAGCAGCGGCAGCAGGAGGCACATGAACGGGGTTGCTTGTCGTTCGAGCAAGGTTGAAGCTGTGAGGACTCTCCCGCCCTTCCACCACCCTGCAAGCACCAAGAGAGAGAAAATCAGCAAGAACGAGAGGAGAACTGGTTGTTACTGGTAGCAAGTGATGCTCACCACTCGCCCCGCCCCAGGTGCGATAAATCAGCAGCAACCCTCCCTCCCTCCCTCCCCCCTTTTGCCCTCCCTCGTCTCTTCCCTTCACCCCTCCCTCCCCTCATTGCACTTTCCCCCCACCCCCCCTCACCTCAGCGCCCTCGCTCTCCCAAGTGTGCGGTGCCTCTCTCCCCCTCCCTTCTCCAGCGCAGCCCCCGGGAGTGGTGGCCCCTGCTGCCCCTCCCGCCGCTCACCCCAGCGCCCTCCCTTCCCCACATCCCCCCCACCCCCCCTCACCTCAGCGCCCTTGCTCTCCCCAGTGTGCGGTGCCTCCCTCCCCCTCCCCTTCGCCAGCGCAGCCCCCGGGAATGGTGGCCCCTGCTGCCGCCCCTCCTGTCCACGTCTGGCGTGGTGAAATCAAAGTGGATGGCACGAGCTGTCAGCACCTGGGGGGCAAGTTTGAGGGAGGGGGACAAGGGAGCCGGGGAGAGGGGGGAGAGTGGGGATGAGGGGGAGTGGGAAGAGCGGGGTGTGAGGGCGGAAAGGGGAGCAAAGAGCGGGGAAAAAGGAAGGAAGGAGGTGGTGGAAGAGGGGAGAGTGGAAGAGAGGTCGGTTGAGGGGTGGAGCGGGCAAGACTAAGGATTAGGCAAGACTAGGGAATAGGCAAGACTAGGGAATAGGCAAGACTAGGGAATAGGCAAGACTAGGGAGTAGGCAAGACTAGGGAGTAGGCAAGACTAGGGAGTAGGCAAGGCTAGGGAGTAGGCAAGATTAGGGAATAGGCAAGACTAGGGAATAGGCAAGACTAGGGAATAGGCAAGACTAGGGATTAGGCAAGACTAAGGAATAGGCAAGACTAGGGATTAGGCAAGACTAAGGAATAGGCAAGACTAGGGAGCATGTTGTAAGTGCACCACTGGGAGGTGTAACACGATGTAATAACGCAACGTAATAGTAACAACAGCACACCGAAACAACGCAACACGGATTGCTAGGCAGACGCGACCTTACCGCATCGCTGACGGCCTTGGAGGTGAGGAGGAGAGAGGAGAGCTCATGGTGGCGGAGACAGCAGACAATCCGCACCTGAGGGGGAGAGAAGGGGGGAGGGGGAGCGGAGGGAGGGCGGAGGGAGGAGTTAAGGCGGAGGGGGGTTGAAGGCAGGGGGAGGGTAGGGCGTAGGTACAGAAGACAACGGAGGGAGGGATAAGAAAGAAATGCATCAATATTATTTTATGAATATTCTGTGCAGATGAAAGTATGGGCGAAAGCCCTTTCTGCGCCAAAACCATCTCAAACGCAATACAAAATGCACTAACCGCAATACACAAACCGCAATGCACAAACCACGATACAAAAACCACACTTCCCTCCACTTCATCCTTTCCCCCTTGACCCCATGCCCCCATGCCCCCTTGCCCCTGTTCCCATGCCCCCTGTCCCCCTTCCCCCCTGCTCCCTGCGCCCACGCCCCCATGCGCGCATGTGTTAAGAGCCCCCAGCACATACCACGACCTCTTGGGGCAAGTCTAGCAGCCCCAGTCCTTCCGCCCTCTCCCCCGTATCCCCCACACTCAAGCTCCGCATTTCCGCCTCTGCTGCTTCCGTCTCCCCCTCCCAGTCCGCCTCCGCCTTCCCGCATCCGCTCTCCTTCCCCCAAGTTCCCCCAAATCGCGCGCCCTGCCCTTGCTCCTGCGCCTGCGCCTGCGCCTGCGCAACGCCTGTTCTCCGCCCGAATAAGCTCCGCGGATTGCGCTGAAAGCGCAGGCGCGGAACGGCAGGGGGAGTGCGCGGTTCCGGGGAGGAAAAAGGCCCCGCAGACAGAGGGGGCAACCCAGCGGTTACCCGCGGAAGGATCGCGGGGAGGGGGGGAAGACTTGCGGGGAGGGGCGGAATGGCGGACGGCGCGCGGGGAGCGGAGTGAGCGTGGGGCATGGCGGGCGACGGGAGGAGCGCGGGGGAGGGGGAGAGGGTTAACGACGGGGAAGGCGGGGCAACAGGAGATCTGAAACAGGGCGAGGCTGTGACATAGTTCGCTTGGAACATCGGGCTGCTAAAACGGTTTTCGGTAGAGGCAGCTATAAGATTGCCAGCAGCGTTGCCTGTAGGACTAGGCGGGCCGCTCAGTCCCCCGTCGAAGCCCGCTTCTCCGGCCATTTCTCCGCCAGCTTTCGCCCCGACGCGTGATCCCTCCTGCTGCTGCCATTGCTCCGATTGCGGCTCTTCCATCTGCGTCCTCCTGCTGCTGTCCTCGGCTAGCATATCCTTCCGCTGCGCCTCTTCCGTCAACTGCGTGTCATCCCATCGTATGGCAACCACTTGCCTTGTTGTATCTGCTCTTTCCGATTCCCCGTTCAGGACCCCAACAGCCCCACTGTCCTCCCTCTCCTCTCTCGCCCCATTCTCCTCTCTCCCCCCCCTCGCCTCTCTTCCCCCCCTCTCCTCTCTTCCCCCTCTCTCCTCTCTTCCCCCCCTCTCCTCCAGATGCTCGTCTGTCGCGTCGCTCGCAATGACATGCGCAGCCAGAGTCACTGGCGTCGCCGGAGTCGCATGCATCGCCCGCGCCGTCGCCTGGGTCGTCGCACAAAATCGCAAGCACGGAGGAGCGGCGTAGAGCTTTCGTCGGTGCCCGTTGACGGGGCAGGACGCGAACGGCCCGCGGAACTCCGCCGGAGGGGTGCGCAGCAACGACAAATCCACCTCAGCCGGTGCTGCCCGTGGCGGTGTTTCTGCTGCTGCTGGAACGATAGCAGAAGCTGCCGCTGATGCTGCTGCAGAATCAGCCTCGGATACAACAGGAACATTCGTTACAACGACAGCATCGGCTAAAACAGACGCTAAACCGTTGATGCTCGCGCGCGGAGCAGGCCAGACTGATTGCGCTACTTGCCAGTCCGAGAGCGGAGCACCCGCGCTTGTTCCCCGTGACCTCAGGTTCCCCGCCAACCGGGGAATAGGGGCGGAAAGCGCAAGCGAGAGCGGAGCTAGGGGAGCCCCGGAGGGCGCCCCTCTCCGCGGAGCTGGGAATGGGGGAAGGTTTGGGGAGAGGGGAGAGAGCGTGTGCGCGGAGCTGTAGCGGGCGCGCTTCGTTGCAAGGATTCTACTCTCAAGCTTGTGCTTGATTGCGCCCGGGCGCACAAATCGTGGAGCGGCCGGGGCCGGCCGGCAGCTTGTGTTGCCGTTGCACGCCGCGCGGTGGTGGTGCGGCCGACGCCGCCGCCGCTCCTCCTGCTGCTGCCGCCCCTCCTCCTCCAGCATCATATGCTCCTGCCGCCTTTGCAGCTCTACTTGTGCCAGCAGCGAATCGTCGCTACCTCGCTCCACGTCCATTCCTAGATCCCGCGACCATGGCTGCTCAAGCGGTCGGCCAGGCGCACTTACACGCGCAGTAGATACCCCTCCTTCTGCTGCTGCTTCTTCTTGCTGCCGAGTGTCGGCTCCACGCAACGACTTCTCTTTCCCCTCCTTTCCCCCGTTTCCTTTCTTTTCCGCATTCTCCTCCTGCTCCTTCGCCTCCGCAACGGGATCCGTTCCTTCGCTAGATGGCGTAAACACCGCTTCGCTAGCGCCCGAGGCTTGGGGACTACACGCGGTCGCAATGCGCTCTTGTCGGGAACCGGATGTGGCTGCTGGGGGAACACGTAAGTGGTTCGCTACAGAAGCTGCTGCTGCTGCTGATTGTTCTGATGGTGCTGCGGGTGTTGTTGCGGCGATCGATGGCAATGGTGACGAGAACGGTTCTTGCCGCGATGGACCAGAAAGCAAAAGCGCTATGCCGTTATTATTTTCCGCGTGCGCGCTTGACGCAGTGAACGGACCGTCCAGATTGTCCATGGTCGACGGAACTGACGAAACAGATACAAAATCGACGACGTGGAATGGATCCTCGGGTATTAGAAAAGTCAGACCGTGTCGTTTTTAGGAAGGGTTCTGAGATGCCTCAAAACTCGTGCGGCGCTGTCAGTGCACGCATCGCGATGCGCCGCGAGGAGGAGAGGGACAGTCTCAGATTCGTGAAACTCTGAATGCTTTCAACATATCGAGAGCAAAATGCAAGACGAAACGAGAGAAGTCATTACTCATGTGCCCAAACGGATCTCGTAACGCCAAGCTTGCTTTTGTGAGGCTGACGCTTCTGTCTGGGATTAGTGGGGTTTGCGCAAAGCTTGCTTTCATCAGCAAAGCAGGGCTGCAGGAAATCGAGCAGCACAGCAGAGAGTTGCAAATGCATTTGTGATGGGACGGGAATGCGGGGAGGGGTTCCGCCTCGCTGACAGTGTTCGCGAAAACCAAGTTTGGCGAAAGCGGTGAATCAGAATTCAGGTTCGGTTCAAATAGGTTTTTTCCGAGAGTCCCGCGGGTGTTGCTGGGGTGTTCCCCTTCCCCCCAACCGACACAACATTCTTCCCTTTTCCCCCCATGCAATTTCTTGGGGGGGGGAAGGATGGGCTGGGGCGGAGCTGACAACTATTTCCCTACGCGTCGGCATTCGGCACAACATGGTTCCGCGTCTGGGGGCAGGGGGAAACTCAAGCGCACGTAAAGCGGCACCTCCCCGCCCCGCGGTGTTGTGGTTGCGGGCTGGAAAATGTGCACCTGCTGTGTGGTGGTGCGCGAACGGAGGTGGTGTGGGTAGGCGCACGTAAAGCGGCACCTCCCCGCCTCGCGGTGTTGTGTGGTTGCGGGCTCAGGAGGAGTCGGGGCGGGACAGGGAATTGACGCATGCTCTTTGGTGATGTGCGTGAATGGGGAAGGTGGAGCTTGATGGTGGCGCAGCGGAACGGTGAGTCTTTCTTGCTGGATGGGGGAACTTGCCTGCGTGGATTCACGTCAGCGACGCTTAGGAGTGGGAGGCGATGGCGGTGGGCGGTCAGCAGGACAGACCCAAGAATATGCTCGTTTGAACCTTGTATTTGAATGGTCAAATTTCTTGGGAGCCAGGTTTGTGTCGCATAAGCTCGATATAATGTCCCACAGACTCGCTATGCGCTTACGAGCACACTGAAGAAGGGCAGAGATATAATTTGAGATTCCAGAAGGTTATAAAGTGGAAATTGGCGCACTGTGACGTTTTGTTATAATAAAAAATTCCATAAAATTATGAATAAAACATTGGATAAACCTGCCCAAAAATATCTAAGATGTTTTCTACTTCACACTACGCATATGTTTAGATATCATGCACCATTAGTATTTTTAAGAGCCAAAGTTATACTTGCTGTGAGCTGTACCGGGAACTGGTTTACTGTACACACTGAAAATCGGTGTCGTGTTGGCCTTGGTTCTTTCGCAACAAGTCAAGCCAGTCATGCCCCTACCTCCAAGCATCTCGCATTATCAACTGACAGATGTTTTCGTGAAAAAAACCCGACGGATGCTCTTGATTTGCTGAACGGTGGTTCGGGCAGCACTGGGAACAGCAAACCGTCCATTTTCTCTGCCCCCCCTTCCACTCGCAACCTCGCGCGCGCGCGGCGGGCGCTTGGTCAGCGCGGATTACACCATCAGCGCGGTGTATTGCGCCACCAACCTCCTGCTTCGTCTGCTCCCTGCCAGCACTCGCCTCTCACAAGCAATTCACCATGACATATATTTGCTTGCCATCGTCGATAGGTCATTGCATAGTCAGAGCAAATTTAGCTTGAATCCAGCTGCTGCACGGATTTTAAAGCTCGTGATTCTACAAGATCATCCCTCGTTCGTTGCCCTAGTTCCGTCCATTCCATCATTTTCTTGAATCCCTGTCCTTCGCCGCCACAATCGAATGGCGCAGCTAACTCCACGACAAAAAGCTGCAGCCGGCGCGCTCTTTACATTCGCGCTCGCAGATTCCCTCAGCCAACGATCGCACGCTTTCGCACAGCCGTTCGCAGACCTTCCTCCGGCCGTCGCAGACGCAAGAAGCGGCGCTGGGAGCGGGCAGCGCGCGAGCGTGTGGGCGGAGGATCCGAGCGCGATACGGGTGTGCCAGCACGTACTTAAGTGAGTCACTTACTTAATCGCTCACTTAGTCACTCACGCGTTTAAGCCGACTCGCGGGTAACTGGCCACGGCGGGCTGCCCTGAAAGTCAACGAAAGTAATATTTTTGGCGAGCTCGATCACGAGGAGAGTAGTTGCTTGCGGATGCAGTTGAAGATGAGAAGATCCAGTAGTTGACATATGCTTTTCAAATCAGTCTGCTTTAATATGGCCGTTTTTGTGCGTCTGTCAGCACAGTGATGTCACTTTCTACCGCCCTCTGATGCCGTCGTCCGTTCTCACTGATAAACTGTAGTTATGAATTTGTGTACCCCTAGGTAGGACCTATTTCTTACTGATCTGGACCTGAAGCGTGGATTTCTCTACCTCCATGGCAGGTGTCTGAGTCTTTCCGAGGCCAACGCGCGCGCGTGCTGCCAAATGGCCAGCGCTGGGCCTTCCTTAAAGCCCCACATTGAAAAGGTAGGCTCCGGGAATCAGATAATAAAGGTAGGCTCAAAGCCTCACATTGAGAAAGTACTAGGTCAAATCCCCCCCCCTCCCCCCCCCCTTCCCCCCCCCCCTTCTCCCCCCCCCCCCCCCCCCCTCCCCCCCTCCCCCCTTCCCTTCTCACCCCTTCTTCCCCCAGTTCCTGGGCGTGCTACTGCAGGAAAGCGCATCGCTCCCCCCAGCGGAGAGGGAGAGGGTGGCGGCAGTGGCGGAGTGCGTGCGCGCACAGGCCTTGAAACTGCAGCAGCAGGCGCGGGGAAGGCGGGAGAGGGAGCGGAGGGAGGTGCGGAGGGCGTGGCAGGGAGAGAGGCAGCGCATGCATGAGGCTGCTGTAGCCGCAGGGAGTGGGGGATATGGGCGCGGAGGGGGGAGAGGTGGCGGGGTAACAGGGGGGGAAGCTGGCGCAACAGGGGGTGGTGCAGGTGGTGTTGGTGCTGGTGGGGTGGAGAGGGATTTTCAGCGGTTGGGGTTAGAAAAACCAGGAGCAGAGGCAGGGACAGGGGCTGGGGCAAAGGCAGGAGCAGGGGCAGGTGGTAAAAAAACAGATGATTGGACAATGGGATGGGGCCTGGATGACGGCTGGGATGAGAAGGAGAAGGTTTCAGGGGGGAAGAGTGCTGCGGGTACGGGAAAATTGGGAAGCACAGCTGTTGGTACTGCTGCTGCTGCTGGTACCGGTGCTGGTGCTGCTACTGGTGCTGGTGCTGCTGGTGCTGGTGCTGGTGCTGGTGCTGGTGCTGCTGGTGCTGGTGCTGGTGCTGGTGCTGGTGCTGCTGGTGCTGGTGCTGGTGCTGCTGGTGCTGGTGCTGGTGCTGGTGCTGGTGCTTGTGCTGGCGTTACAGTGGGTTCAGAGCAGCAAATAATGGAGGAGAAGAGGAGAGAGGAGGAGAGGGAGAGAGAACGGGAGGAGATCAAGAGGGAAAGAGAGATGGAGGTGGAACGGGAGAAGGTGAGAGCAAGGGAGGCGGAAGAGCGGAGAGAGAGGGAGTTAGAACTTCAACTGGAGCAAGAGAGAGAGCGCTTGGCGAGAGAGAGAGAGGCGCAGAGGGAGCAAATGACAAAGAGTAAGGCATGGGAGGGACAGGAGGATGAGGAGGACGAAGAGGAGGAGTATATGATGAGAGGTGGCGGAAGGGGTGGTAAGGTAGCAGCATCTAGCCGTCCTCCCTTTGCCTCTGGAGGGTTTTTCAATGAGGACGAAGAGGAGGAGGACGAGGGGGAGGGGGAAGGATTTGGGGGAGCAGGGAGCGGGTTCGGAGGAGGGGGGTTCGGTGGAGGGGGGTTCGCAGGAGGGGGGTTTGGTGATGGGGGCTTCTTTGGGGGTGAGGAGGGAGAGGAGGAGGAGGAAGAGGAAGAGGGTGGGTGGGGGCAGAATGCGGGGTCTTGTGGTGTTGGTGTTGTTGTTGGTGGTGGTGGTGGTGGTGGTGATGAGAAGGCGAGGCTTGGTGTGGAGCAAGGGGAGCAAGGGGCAGGAGGCAGTGGTGGTGATGATGATGTGAAGATCGATGAGGAGGATGCTAGGCCTGGTGCTGCGGCAGTTGCTGCTGCCACTGCCGAAAACTCTGATTCTGCTGCTGCCACTTCTGATGCATCTAAGGTGGACGCGAGAGAGGAGGAGCAAGCTGGAGTTTTGACTACCAACGAAGCTGGTGCTGCTGCAGCTTCACCAGATGACCAAGAAAAGGAAGAGAAGGAAGGAAAAGAAGGAGGAGAAGGAGGGGAAGCAGTAGAAGCCAAGGCAGCCGAAGCTGCAGTGGCAGAACTACCCGTGTCATTCGGACCAGGGCAAGCAGCAGCAACAACAGCAGCAGTACCAACAGCAGCAGTACCAGCAGTAGCAGCAGCAGCAGCAGCAGCAGCAGCAGCAGCCGCAGCACCACCAGCAGCAGCAGCCGCAGCACCACAGGCCACTCTGCCGCAGCCCACCATCCCTCAAAACCCCCCAGCTCAACCAACCCCGCCTCCAGTAAAAGTAACCCGTGAGCCGGTGCCGTTTGCAGCGGCAGTGGCGGGTATTCCCGAGGACGAGCGCATTGCCGTGCTGTGGGAGCTCCTGACTGCATTCATGTCAGATGAACATACTTCTGGTGGCGGTGGTGGTGCGGGTGCTGCTGCTGGTGCTGCAGGTGGTGCTGGTGGTGGTGGTTCTGGAACAGGGGATGCAGCAGCGCAGAGCGTGCAGGCAGGGGGGTATGATTCCCGCGAGCGCACAGCGCTTCGGCTCCTGGCCGTCTGGTTGCAGCTCGACTGGTCCCTCGTGGTACGTGCCATCTTGCTGTCTTCTGAGATGTGTTAAAAGTAGTCACATCACGTGTCTCTTTGGATCTGCTGCTGCTGCTGCAGCAGCAGCAGCAGCAGCAGCAGCAGCATATGACATGCACGTGCGGATCGATCAGTCAGCAGTGGAGTGGCAGCCTGTTTCCCCATCAGGCTGCAATGGAGTGCATGCTAGCAGCAGCAGCGTACATACCGCTCTCCCCACATGCGGATCGACGAGGCAGCAGCCCCATACCACCCTCCCAGCTTGCCTCTCCTTCCCTGTCCTGCCCGTTTCAATTCAACCATCACCTCACCCCTTGCCCCACCCCCCACCAGGCTGCAATGGAGCGCATGCTAGCAGCAGCAGCGTACAACGCCCAAGCGCAAATCGACCAAGCAGCAGCAGCCTTACCCCACCCTCTCTGCTCGCCTCTCCCCTCCGTATCCTGCTCTATTACCCCATCACCCCCCACCAGGCTGCAATGGAGCGCATGCTAGCAACAGCAGCATACAACGCACAGGTTCAAATCGACCAGGCAGCAGCAGCAGCCGCAGCAGAGAAAGCCAAGGCAGCACAGGCAGGCAACCGCAAGTGGGGCGGGTGGGGGCGAGCCATGAGCATAGGCGCGGCTGCAGTGGGGACAGGCGCGCTGCTGGCTGTGACTGGGGGGCTGGCGGCGCCTGTGCTGCTCGCGGGGATGTCTGCTGCTGGGTCGGTGATTCCGGTGGCCGGGGGGATTATCACTGGCGCTGCTGCGCTGGCTGGGACCACTGTGGGCTCTGCTGCTGTCATTGGCGCGTTTGGTGGTGAGTGGGGGGTGGGGAAGGGAAGAGTGGGAGGGAGCAGCGGGGTTTGATGCCCTGGGAAGGAGGGAGGGATTTCTGTGATTTGGTGAAGGCAGCTTTGACTTGACCTGACCGCTCTCGCTACCACTTGTGCATCCGCTCTCGTACCGCCCGTGCATGACTGCTTGGGAACGTGGAGGCATCTGCAGACGTCTCAAAAGCTGACCGCTCTCGCTATCGCCCGCGCATGACTGCTTCGGAACGGGGAGGCTTCATCTGAGACAATCCAGTTCCGACCTGTCCCCTCCCCCCCCCTGCTACTTCCCTCCCCCCTATCGAATGCTCAGCGGGGGGAGCCCGCATGAGTAGCTTCTTGCAGAGGCTCAAAATACACCTCATTGCAGGGGGAACGGTTGGGGAGGAGACGGTGGTGGTGACACAACACCAGTCCGTGGGAGCTGGGAAGGAGAGCGGAAATATGGATGGGACGGGGGGACGGAGGTCGTTGACTTGCTCGAGACTTCGTACTCTACGGATACATACCTAATAGATGCAAGAGCCGTGATGGAGACACGGCCGAGATGGAGATAGTGGCCCTGGTGGATGGAATGGCCCTGTTCAACGCAGGGAATATTTCCGTTCAAGCTTGTCAATGGGACGATGCTGCAGGCAGTGCTTCTGTTGACAATGCTGCTCCTCCTGCCACTCCTCTTAGAAGCAGTAGTAGGATCAGTAGTAGGATGCTTCCCCACCCCCTTCCAACTGTTCAGCTGTGGGAGCGCGCATGGGTAGCTGATGGCGCGGCGGTTAGGCGATGTGGAGGAGTTCAAGTTCGTGCCACTCGCCAATGCTGATGCTGTTGCCCCCCTTCGCCCTCCTGCTGTTGCCCCCCGTTTGCTGTTGCCCCCCCCCTTGCTGTTGCCCCGCCCTCCCCTCCCTGCTGTTCCCCGCCCTCAATTGTTCAGCCGCGGGTGCCCGCATGGGCAGCTACAAGATGGCGCGGCGCCTGGGAGATGTGGAGGAGTTTAAATTCGTGCCACTGGCCAATGCTGATGCTGTTCGCGCCATGGGCGTTGCTGTGGGGCGACGGGGAGGGGGAGGGGGAGGTGGGGGAAGAGGAGGAGGTGGAAGGGGTGGGGGAGGGGGACGAGGGGGGGCGGTGGACATGTGGGGGAGACCGGTGTCATCTGGTGATGCTGGTGGTGGGAGAGGAGGAGGAGGTGGTGGTGATGATGATGAGGACGGTGTTGGGGTGAGTTGAGTTGAGTGTTTGCTTTGCATGAATGGACTGCCTGCAGAGGCACACTAGGTGTGTGCGTGCATGCATGTGTATCTGCAATCTTACATGAGAGGGCATGCATACACGCCCTCGTGCATGCATGTGTATCTGCAATCTTACTCCCATGCCTCTGCACGGCACTCGCCTGCATGCCTCCCCTCCCTTCACTTCTCTCCCACTCCTTCCGTCACGTTTCCCCACCCGCGAAGCACTCCCATGACTTGCTCCATTTTTTTTTTAACCCGAATGCAACACCCGTGCCCTAAGCACAAGCTCCAACCCTGAATCCGAAACCCCAAACCCCAAACCCAAACCTGAACTGTAAACCTGAAATCTGTTGCAGAAGCTATCGGTGGCAGTGGTGGCAGCGGGGTATGTGCTGAACACCAAGGACTTTGTGGAGCCATGGCTGTCCCTGCCCACTGACACTGAACAGTGAGTCACCGGTGGGGCAGCAGCGCAGGGCAGGGCATGGGGTGTTGTGGCATGGCATGGTAGGGTGTGGCACAGCATGGCCTGGCATGGCGGGGTATGTGCTGAACACCAAGGACTTTGTGGAGCCGTGGCTGTCCCTGCCCACTGACACTGAACAGTGAGTTGCTGGCATTGCATATGGTGTGGTATGGGATGGCATGACATGGCATGGCATGGCATGGCATCCAACAGGTAACAGCCAGCTGGCGTGATCATGTGATGCTGTTGATAAGAGAGTTCGTGCCAAGCAGCACGTCTTGAACACCCCGTATTCATGAACTGTATGTAACAGCCATCATTCTCCCTCCCTCCCCTCCTCCCAATGCTTGTCCTCTTCCTCTCCATCTGCTCTATCTCCCACCCACTCACATTCCCACCCTTCACCTCCCCCCAACCCCCTCTCTCCCCCTCTGCCCCCCTCCCTCACATGCACAGGTTCGCTGTGGTGTGGCAGTCAGCGGATCTCATAACATCAGGCAGGGCCATCAACGACTGGCTCATGTCCAGTTGAGTGCTAAGTGTTTAAAGTGGGGGGAGTGGTGAGTGAGCGGATTGAGTAAATAGTGAGTGACTTTAGTCGACTGAAAGGTCCCATCAGATCTCATCACGTCAGGCAGGGCCATCAACGATTGGCTCATGTCCAGTTGAGTGCTGAGCGTTGGAGTGTGGAGTTTTGAGTGTTGAGCGCCTGAGTGTGGAGTGTTTGTGTGTGAGTGCGGAGTGGAGCGGTTTTTGTTTTTTTGTTTTTATCGAAGAGCTCGTGCACTTGTCTTGGAACATGTCAGAACATGTTCTAATGACAACATGGGGAAAGATGGCTTTCACTCCAGCCGCGGTGCAGCGGTCGGTGGCAACGGGGGTAGCGATGGTGGCCGTGCAGGTGCTGGGGGCGGCTGCTGCTGCTTTCATGCACCATCTCTCTCCCCCCTACACCCATCTTCCCTGCTCCCTTTCACACTCTCGTCCTCTCTCCTCCTTGTTTCACCAGCGGCGGTGCAGCGGTCAGTGGTGATGGGGGGGGCGATGGTGGCAGTGCAGGTGCTGGGGGCGGCTGCTGCTGGGCCTGAACTCAACTGACAGACAAGGACACACTCACCCATACACCCCCCAGCCACCCCCCCCCCCCCCCCCCCCGCCCTCCTTCCGTGCCCCACCCCCGCCCCTTCTCTTGATTCACCAGCGGCGGTGCAGCGGTCAGTGGTGACGGGGGGAACGATGGTGGCGGTGCAGGTGCTGGGGGCGTCTGTCATGTGGCCCATCACGCTGCTCACTGCCGCTGCTTCCATTGACGACAAGTGGAGCGTTGCTGTCAACCGGTGAGGGCGGATGGGGACAGGGATGGATGGGGATGGGACGGGCACTTTAAGAGAGGAAGGGAAGGGTGGGCATGCTTGGCCCATCACGCTGCTCTCTGCTGCTGCTTCCGTTGACGACAAGTGGAGCGTTTCTGTCAACCGGTGAGGGAGCATGGGGATGGGGATGCCACCCACCTCCTCACTATGCCTCACTATGTCACTATGCCTCTCTGCTCTGCACTCTCAGCTATGCGGCACACTCCCACTCCACTCACACCACTCTTTCTCACCCTTGTATCTCCTTCATTCACCCTTGTATCGTTCACTTGTGTTCGTGTGCATGCATGCGTGCATGTGTGCATGTGTGCATGCGTGCATGCGTGCATGCTTGCATGGGTGCATGCGTGCATGCGTGCATGTGTGCATGCGTGCATGTGTGCATGTGTGCATGTGTGCATGTGTGCATGTATGCGTGGGTGCCAACACCAGCACGGACAAGGCCGGAGCAGTGCTGGCAGATGTGCTGTTGGAGCGAACACAGGGATCCAGGTGCGCTCTCTGTCTAGATTCAAAACCACACTTCTGTAAGTAAAAATTCTTTGCTCTTTGCAGCTCCTCTTTGCAGCTCCTCTTTACAGCTCCTCTCAGAAGATCCTCCCATCCACATATCCACCTGTTCTTCTATCCCCCTTCCTCCTCATCCCCCTCCCCCACTTTCTCCTTCTCCGTTTCCCTCGTCCTTTCCTGCACCCTTTCTGCAATGCTGCCCTGCCCCCATCCTTTCACCGACCCTTTTCCCAACCCCCGTACAGTGCCAGTGACACTGATAGGCTTCTCCCTTCTGTATCCCCTCACCTTCTCCTGCCTCTCCCACCATCACGAATACTCTTCCAACAATTTCCCTCTCCCTCCCACTCCCCTCCCCACCACTCCTGCCGTTTCCCCACCCTCCGCCCCTCCCCACATCAACCCAGGCCAGTGACGCTGATAGGCGTCTCCCTGGGTCTGCGCCTCGTCTCTCCTGTCTCTCCAACTTACACATACTCTTCCTCTCCAACTTTTCCCCACCGTCTCCCCCCACCAACCCAGGCCAGTGACGCTGATAGGCTTCTCCCTTGGTGCGCGTCTCATCTTCTCCTGCCTCACCCACCTTGCTGCTAAAGGCCATGCTGCAAGTAAGAACCCCTTTCCCCCCCATATCTCTCTCCTAACTCCCATCGTTTTCCTGGGTCTCCTTTTTCCACCCTCCCTCAAGCTCTCTTTCTCCCCACTCTCCGTTTTCCCGCCTTTGCCCCTTGGGCGCTAGTCTTAACTTTTCGTGTCTCAACTACCTCTCTGCTAAAGCCCATCCTGCTGAGGCGCCTTCCCCCCCTCCCCCCCATCCTTAGTCCCGCATCTCCCTATCTTGCCTCTCATCTCCCATCCCCAGGTCTTCTTGCTGTTCAGTCATAATTCTCAGAGAGCAGCAGTTGTGTAGCGTAGGCTTAAGCAAAAGAACAACAGCGGTGCTCGCTCGGTCTTCTCCGTCAGCTCCCATCTCCATGCCTTCTCCCTCATCTCCCCTTTTCCCATTTCTCCTGGCCGTCTCAATCGGAAATGGGGGTGGTAGAGCGCGCATTGCTACTGGGAGCACCAGTGGTCGGCAACACATGTGATTTTTAAGTTTTTTCAAGGGTTCTCCTCACCTCTCGACCTTCCCCCCTCCAAACATCCCCCTTCCCGCTCCTCTCTCTCCCTCTCAATCGCAGTGGGGGTGGTGGAGCGGGCAGTGCTACTGGGAGCGCCAGTGGCAGCACCCTCCCGTTTCCCCACCCTCCGCCCAGAACAGCTAGTTCTTGAGAATCCTTACAAACCTCTCTCATCTCTCACCCCCCTCCCCACGCGCCCCTCCATCGGCAGTGGGCGTGGTGGAGCGAGCAGTGTTACTGGGAGCGCCAGTGGCAGCACGAGACAGCACATCACAGATAGTTCTCGAGAATCCTCAAAACCCCCTCTCTTCACTCCCCCTCCCCCCCTGCTCTCTCAAACAACAGTGGGGGTGGTGGAGCGGGCAGTGTTACTGGGAGCGCCAGTGGCAGCACGAGACAGCTCCGCATGGGAGGCAGCGCGACGGGTGGGAACAGGGGAGAGGGGCAGGGGAAGAGGGGGGTGGGAAGGGGAGAGTGAGGAGGAGTGACGGTGGATAGTGGGGGGGGGGGGGGAGGGTGAAGTGGAGGAGTGAGGGGGGAGAGTGGAAGGGGGGAAATAAGGTGGGGAGTGGAATGGGAGGGGAAGAGGAGGGGTTCACAGGGGAATGGCACGTTTGTTTCTTGTCTTTTCATTTGTTCTTTCCCTGCTTCTACGTTTCCTTTGTGGTTCAAACCCCTTTTGAGGCTCCGCAAGGCAAGACAGCTTTCAACATGCACTACCCATCATTACCTCCCTCGCATCTGGCCCCCACTATCAGTAGACAGATTCCAAACGGCGGTGACATCTGTCCCCCTTTATCAGTATACAGAGGCTACTGCTATCTGCTATCTGCCTGTGCCTCCCCTCAAACGGTCCGTTGTATTGATTCAGCAGGGTTACAGACATGCAGTTGGATGGATTCAAGATACCCTCACTCTCTCCCTGGTGTACCCTTCCTCTCTCATCCCTCCCTCTCTGTCTTCCCTTCCTTTCACGCCCACACCACTCCTCAGGTTGTCTCGGGTCGTTTGGTGAACGGCTACTGTGAGAAGGACTGGGCGCTGGGCCTCATGTACCGCACCAGGTATGCTTTTGATATCGAGGTGGTTTTTTAGCCGACTCAAAAGCTGCTGCTTGGTGAACGGCTACTGTGAGAACGACTGGGCGCTGGTCTCATGTATCGCACTAGGTATGCTTTCTCCATGTATTCACTCACGGTTCTACACTCCATACCCTACATTCTAGACTCTTCACTCTAGTCTAGAGTGTCAGATCAACTTGGCACTGGGCCTCACGTATCGCACCCGGTACACTTTCCCCACGCACCAACTCAAGATTCCACATTCCAGACACAAGACACTTGGCTCTAAACTCCCGTCTAGGGTGTGAGAATGACTGGGCGCTGGGTCTCATGTATCGCACCAGGTATCGTTTCCCCACATACCCGCTCGTCTTTAAAAACCACACTCTAGGATATGAACACTAGGTTCTAGGTTCTAGTCTAGCGTATAGGGCTGGGGATTTTGATTCCAGCCCAGGTTGGATTGGGATGGTTGGGTGAGTCCGCTTTACACTCTATCCGTCCTGCCTATTTGATTCTCATTGTGTGTAAGCCTACCTTTCGGTGTATGTTTCGCTCTTTCTCTTCAATCTCTTACTCAAATTTCCGTCATTCCTTCTCCTTTCCCCCCTCCCTCTGCTCCACCCATCAACCCGCCTACTCTCCCTCCCTCCCTACCCCTACCTCCCTCCTGTATGGTCCACTCACAGTTTCCTGCTTTCAGGAGTTGCAGGCATTCAAGCGGTCAAGGTTAAGGGAGTTGAGAACGTAAGCCATTCTCCTCCTCTTCGCTCCTCCCTTCCTTCTCTCCCCTCGCTCTTCTCTCCTCCCATTTCCTCCTCTTCGATTCACCGTTATTAATTGTCCTTTCCTCCGCTTCAGAGGTACTACAGCATTTTCAGTGGTACTACAGCATTTTCAGTGGTACTACAGCATTTTCAGAGGTACTACCGCGTATGAGCTTCCTACCCTCTGCAACTGCAACTTCACCCGTCGAATGTTCCCCTTGTTCTCTCCCAGGTGCGCCCATCCTTTCCCAGCACACTTCTCGTGCCTCCTCTCCGTCCCTGCTTCCCCCGTACAGTCCTGATGCCTCTCCCCCCTCCGTCTTGCACGCTATACAGGTGGATCTCACGCCTCTCATCGACGGGCACACGAGCTACCTGTCGGGAGTGCCATTTCATCTTCCAACAATATACCTCTCAAACTCACCCCCTCCCCTCCGCGTTCCATGGCATTCAGGTGGATCTCACGCCTCTGGTGGACGGACACACGAGCTACCTGTCGGGAGTGCCAGCCATTGTGGATGCTCTGAGCATCGACTCGCCTCTCGCGGCCACGCCGGCGGACGTGCTGCGAGCAGCCAAGGAGTGGAAGGAGGAGGAGAGCCTTATATGAGACTGCGCTTTGGGTATACTTCGTTCCATATATTCTCTTCTCCAGCGGGCGCATAAACTGCCGGCCGTTGTCGTTGCACCGACCATCGACTCGCTGCTAGCCGCCACCCCTGCGGACGTGCTACAAGCTGCCAAGGAGTGGAAGGAGGAGGAAGAGAGCCTTATCTGACTCCACCTGGGTTACCATACTAGTTCTGTGCATTTTCTGTTGCGTTGAGCATACGATACGACATGACACGAACTACCTACCTGCCAGGACTATGCTCCTCCTTGTTTCCTTCAGTTTGCGATTTTCTTTGTAAGGGTCTTTATGCTTTTCCGTTATTCCGGAATTCACTCAAGGGGCTTGGAAAGAGGGGAAAGAAGGCCTCATGTGACAATTTCATGCGCACCGCAGTTCAACCTGTGGGAAGGAAAGGGTTTCATCATTGTTTGGAAGCAGCACGGTTGTGTATAAGGTGAGGTGAGGCAATCCTTTCCTCAACTGGCCCTTGGTTTTTTCCCGAGACAGCATTGTCGCAAACAGTAGAGGCTCCACCTCACATGGTTGGACTGCCTTTGTCACATCGTATGCAATTATGTACAAGCGAGCAGGAAACTAAAGCAAGACAGGCTGTGAACTGCGACTTGTGTGACTGGCGTCAAAATGAAATGGTGAAGAGCTGCTAGGATAGAGCAGGCCAAGATGCCGGCACCCAGGGACCAAACGAGCCATCTAAGAGTCGCTCCACTCTTGTTACAAGCACTTGCACAGTATCATCGGGCATGTTGCCCATGCACTGCACAATACAGGGGAGCACAGGACGAGGAGCAGCCTCGGATATGGTAAAAACCAACGCACAGGGGATGACAACAAAAAACCATCTGGAAAAGAAGAAAAGAAAAAGCATTACTAAACCAGAAAGGAACCCAAACTGGGAGAACAACATTAGCAGCAAATTGCTCAGAATGCTTTTACTTACCTGAGCTTTGGTTATATGTGGATGCCACACTATCACTGCTGCTGTTCCCACACAAGGCACATCGCTTCTTCCTTCAACCCCTTCAACCCCTTCAACCCCTTCAACCCCTTCAATCTCTCTGCTTGCCCTCCCTTCACTCTCCACCTCCACCCATCCTTCTCCTTCCTCCTGCTGCTCCTTCCCTCTCTCCTCCCTTCTCTCCACCCGATTCTCTTCTCTACCGCCGTACCCATCTCCACCGCTCAACTCCTTATCCTCACTTATTCTCCCTCCTTTAGCTCGTGGGGAGAAGAGGGAGAGCAAGGAAAGCCATGCCTGGTGTTTCGACGAGTCAACCTGAGTCCAGGGACGAATGAGGGCAATAACATGATACCAAAGACGTGACGAATGAGGGAGAGGTGGAGAGGGGGATACGAAGAACAATCTTATGCTGCTGGAAGGCAAGCGCACCAAGCACGTGTTGCAAGGAAGGTTGATGCAAGGGAGGTTGATGCAAGGGAGGAGGATGCAAGGGAGGAGGATGCAAGGGAGGAGGATGCAAGGGAGGAGGATGCAAGGGAGGAGGATGCAAGGGAGGAGGATGCAAGGGAGGAGGATGCAAGGGAGGAGGATGCAAGGGAGGAGGATGCAAGGGAGGAGGATGCAAGGGAGGAGGATGCAAGGGAGGAGGATGCAATGGAGGAGGATGCAAGGGAGGAGGATGCAAGGGAGGAGGATGCAAGGGAGGAGGATGCAAGGGAGGAGGATGCAAGGGAGGAGGATGCAAGGACAGAACAACCGTGCCAACAGATTGAGATACGATAAGCATAGCGGATGCAAGAAAAGGCGAGAGCGCGGGAAATGAAAAGGAGGGCGGATGAGAAAGGGTGGCATGAACGGGGTAGTGGTGAGGAAAAGCAGGGTTAAGGTGGTGGTAGGGTCCCAGGAAGAGCTTACATAGGAAAAGACAAGCCTTGGTTCTTTTGCAAAGGATGCGGCCACCTGCAACGGGTCACAGGGGACAGGGATGGGGACGAGGACAAACAGAGCCCCATGTTGGAGCCATGGTGTCATGTCAATACATGGCATTTGCTTAGCTAAAAGCGCCAGCATAGGCAGTGGGCCACAGGGGATGGGCACGGGGATGGGGATGGGGATGGGGATGGGGATGGGGATGGGGATGGGGATGGGGATGGGGCTGGGGATGCGGATGCGGATGGGGATGGGGATGGGGATGGGGATGGGGATGGGGATGGGGATGGGGATGCGGATGCGGATGGGGATGGGGATGGGGATGGGGATGGGGATGGGGATGGGGATGGGGATGGGGATGGGGATGGGCATGGGGATGGGGATGGGGATGGGGATGGGGCCAGCCTCGCACAGCCTCAGGCGTACCTCTCTGTAGCTAGTCAGAGCAGCGTCTTTGTCTGACTGGGCGCAGTCTCGCAGCACCATCACCACTGCATATGGCGCCATGTTACCACTGCTCAGAGTCATACTGCTGGTGCTGGTGGTGGTGTTAGTGCTGCTGCTTTTAGTGGTGCCGCTGCTGGTGGTGCTGCTGCTGCCTGTTCGTTTATCAGCAGGCAGCCACCAGCAATCCGCGCTAGACGAAAGTTCCACCACTCCTCCACCCTCCATTCTCCCTTGCTTCTCCCTCCCTCTGCTGCTGCTGCCACTGCTCCTCACACCACTCCTTGCCACCTCACCCCTGCTACTGCTGCTGCTGGCCCTGCTGCTGCTGCTGCCACTGGTATCCATGCTGCTGCTGTGAACGCTGCTCAGAGCATCACAGGTAACCCTCGAAAGAGGTGGGAGGTAGCCAGACGAGGGATGGTGAGTGGGACCAGTGGGACCATGCTCCCACATGTTCAGTCGCTTCCTCTGCCACGCTCTCTGTACAGACTCCTGTGCTGCTCTTGCTGCATTCTCTGCTGCCCTTGCCTCTTCTCTCTTCTTTACCCATCGCCCCTTCTGCTGATCCACTCCCCATCCCTCTCCCTCCTCCTCCCCATCCTCCACTCCTTCCTCTTCTTCCTCTTCCTCCCCTTCCTCCTCTTCCTCCTCCTCCCCTTCCTCCTCCTCTGTTACTCCCATCCCCCCCAGTCCTGTTGCGGGTGCACTGGAAGGAGCACCTAAGCACGTGCCAATAGTGTAGATCACAACGAGCGTTATGAAGGCAGACAATAGCGGGGATGAAATAGCCTCCCCTAGCGGCTCCCCTAGAAGCAGCTCCAGAGTGTGCTTGCAGGCATAGAAGGATTGCCAGAGGAAGGAGAGGAGGGCGGAGGGGAGGAACCAGGCGGGCAGAGAGGAGGAGGAGGAGGAGGAAGAGGAGGAGGGTGAGAGAGTGTGGTCCCACCAGGTGTTTGGATGGGCCAGGGCGGGGGGGTGCTGCTTGAGAGCTCGGAACTGCATGGGATAGAGAGAGGGAGATGGGGCCAGGTGGATAGGTAGGTAGGTGGGTGGGTGGGTGGGTGGGTGGGAGGGAAGTATGAGTTCTGGTGAGTTGTGGGGGGCAGCACAATACACGGCATGTGTATGGGGTGTGGGAATGTGTAGTGGTTATGGGCATGGGCATGGGCATGGGCATGGGCATGGGCATGGGCATGGGCATGGGCATGGGCATGGGCATGGGCATGGGCATGGGCATGGGCATGAGCATGGGGATGGAAATGGGCATGGGGATGGGAACGCATATCCGGTATTGGTCATGAGCTTATCACCTGAGGATGCACGAGATCATGTGACTCGCTGCCCCCTATGAGATCTGACAGCCACTCAAACACCTGATGTGGGTATGGTGGAAAGGGAGGAGAGGAGGACGGACGAGAACGAGGAGAAGAAGAGGAGTTGGAGGAGAAAGAAGAAAGGGAAGTGTGAGATGAGCAAAGCAGATAAGTACAGAGGGTATAAAAAAGGGTAGGCTCCACCAGAACCTGAAAGCCTAACCTTCCAGCATCACCAAGCCATTCCAAACATCGTCAAACGGGCTTGCATCACACTTACCTAGTCAACGCAACACTGCCTCATGTGATTGATTCATCCACAAACGCCCCGGATACTCCCATAAGGTGATTCACTCACCTCTCCTGCACCCATCAACGGACAGTCATCTCCTCCCCCCCCATCACTCCGTCGTGTTCCTCTCCCTGCTGCCCTCCCCCCTCCTGCCTTCCTTCGTAGCACAGCCACATGCTGCGACACCCTCCTCTGATTCCCCCCGCCCTTCACCCCCTCTCCTCCTAACTCTCCCCACCTTGCTCCCCATCCTCCTCTTCCTCCCTTTCCGCCTTTTCCTCCTCGCACTCCCACGTGTTGGTGTCGCAGCAGCACGACAGCAGGACAAGCGCCTGTTCTCATACTTGCTTTGCCATCTCCGGTTTCTTTTCCCCACCTGCCCCAGCTCCATCCAGCAATCAGAGAGCTTTTCGGCTGCCCGAGCGGAAAGAACGGAGAGCCGAGAAAGTGGAGAGAGAGGGAGTTGGTATAGTCTTGAAAGGAGGAGGAGAGGGAGGAGAGGAGGTGGGAGGAGAGGAGGAGAAGTTGGTCGAGATAGTGTGTGGTGTAGTGTGAGAGAGAGGGGGAGGAGCAGAGGGAGAGGATGGGCGGGGGAGGGGCGAAGGGCGAGAAAGGGAGGTATCGGAGGATTGAGGAGGAGAGACGTGAGAGGGAGGAGGCAATGGGAGATGGAAGGACGCGGAGAAGGGGAGAGAATATCTGGAAGAAAAGTTGTGCGAGTTGAGTAATGGTTCTAGGCAGGAAGTGAGCGTGAGTGTGAGCGTGTGAGCGAGTGTGAGAGTGAGTGAGAGAGTGAGGGGAGAGGGAGAGGAGGAAGCGGCAAACAGCTGGCTGCTGAGAGGCATCAAGCCAAGAGAGGAATAGGCGGTGGGAGGAGAAGGCAGTGTAAGGGGACGAGGAGGCGGAGGATGGCGGGTTGTCGAGAATTCGCTTCAGCTTGCGGATCTCCTGTTGAATGGCAACGGGTGGGCACGGGGTGCGCACAGGATGGGAACGAGATGAGGCAAGGGATGAGCAATTGCAAGGAAAGTGCGGGATGGTGAGTAGGGGAGGGCGATGAAAACGATAATAGTGGTGGCGAGTAGATTGGAGCAAATGATCTCAACAGCCCCAAAGGGCAACCTCACAAGCACTAGGAGAGCACAAACCGGTTTTTGAGAATTCTCAAAAACCAGATCTCAACAGCCCCAACGGGCAACCTCACAAGCACTCGGAGAGCACAAACCCCTTGCACTAGAGGACCAGCTCACAAGCACCAGAGGGGCACAAGGCGAAATAAGAGGAGTGACAAAGAGGCTGACATGAAGCACGGATTAGCATACCGAAAGGGAGGAGGCGAACGAAGAGGAGTTGGAGAGGGCGAGGTCCGCCGAATGGCCGATGAGCACTAGAGAGTACCAGGGCCCGTGTGCAGGGAGAGAGGGGTGAGAGGAGTCGGCAGAGGAAGAGGAGGAGGATGATGATGTGGAGGAGGAGGAGGAGAAGAGGGAGAAGAGGTGGGAGGAATTGGGGATGTAGAAGCGGAGCAGAGGTGCTGAGTCCTTGTGCAGGGAAAGGAGATCTGTGGTAGGGGTGGTGGGAGAGGACAAGAGAAGGGAAGGTGGTGAGGGGATGACGAGGGTGTTGGTATTTCTGTGAGTGAGCGTGCGCTGAGTCCTTGTGCAGGGAAAGGAGGTCGGTGGTAGAGGGTGGTGGGAGCGGGGACAAGAGGGGATGATAGAAGGTGTTTGTGTGTGTGTGCGCACGCTTGCGCACGTGCATGCATGCGTGTGCATGTGCATGCGTGCGTACATGCTGTAACCTTCTGTGTACTAATTTCCTGCCTTACTCTGCCCACTTCCTGCCTTGAGTCTTCCTCAATCCCTCCCTGCTGAGAACTCACATGCTCACTCCTCACACCTCGCATTGCATGCGGCTCACATAAAACAACTAACGCCTACCAGGCAGTTGTTTTACAGAAATAAGATAACTCAATTGAATCTTTCCTTATGCAAATACAGGCAAAACACAGGCGATTGGCACAATGTCATGCATGGGGGACAGGTAAAAGCTTACCAGGCGATTGGTTCTTAGATAGCACGTCGTGAAGCCTGTCTTTGCTCCACTTCCCTGGACAAAGTGGGTGCCACGATGAGGCGTGGGAAGAGGAGCAGGGTGCCGGGGAAAGCAGAAAGAGGGGAAAAGCAAGCAGGTAGGTGGGAAAAAGGGAAGATGGGGGCATTGAGAAGAATGCTACCTGTGAAGAGTCTATCCGTGAAGAGTCTACAAGGTACAAGTTCAGAGTGAAGAGAGTGTTACTAGCACAAAGAATGGTATCAGCAACTCGTGCCACTTACCAGTGACAACGAGGGGTTCTCTCAGGGGGTCCTTGAATATGAGCAGACAGGGCAGGCTTTTGAGTCGCAAGCCTGAGAGGGTCTCATAAGTCAGCTCTTACCGGTGGCAACGAGGGGTTCTCTGAGCGGGTCCTTGAAGATGAGCAGACAGGGCAGGCGACGCAGACCCAGGCTGCTCATGTGAGGATGGGTGAATGGAAGGGAGCACAGGGAGCAAAGAAAACAAAAGGGAACGGCGAAGGGGTTGTATGCAGCAGGGGAGATGCAGCACAGTTTAGAGAGCACAGAGAGTCCTAGAAGATGAGCAGACAGGGCAGGTGATGCAGGCCCAGACTGCTCATGTGGGAATGGGTGAAGGGAGAAGAGGGACCGGCGGAAGGGTGCAACTGAACGCGGCTGCTTTCTGTCAAACTCCATTATGTATCAACTTAGAAAGCACCGAGGGGGGCGAAGGCATTGAGGCGGTGTGAGTGGAGGGTGACAGAGGGAAGTGGAAGCAACGGCAGCAAGGGTGAGTGGGGAAGTGCGAGCAAGGGTGTGAAGCTGCTGCTGTTGTGTTGGTTCTTGCTTCCTCACACTCACCCACTAATGAGTCAATTCAACACTCACCGGGGAGAGAGGGCGTTGAGGTGGTGTGGGTGGAGGGCGACAGAGGAGAAGTGCAGGGAGGAGCGCCAGTGCGGATCCGCTGCTGCTACTGCTGATGTTACTTCATCTTTCCTTACACCCACATCTAAGCAGACTCAACACTCACCGAGGGGCGAGCGCGCTGAGGTGGTGTGGGTGGAGGGCGACAGAGGAGAAGTGCAGGGAGGAGCGCCACTGCGGGTCTGCTGCTGCTACCCGCATCTGGAGGAGCAGAGCTGCCGCTGCTGAGGATGAGGAAGGGGAGGAGGAGGAGTCGACTGGAACTGCAGCCACTATGACCGGCTTTTGGAAGGAGAGGCGGAGAGGTAGGGACTCCTGTGGGGAGAGGGGGGGAAGGAGGGGAAGGTGAGGGTTGGTGGATGAGGTGGGGGATGGGGGATGGGGGACAGAGTGAAGAGTGGGAGAAAGAGGGTAAACTGAAGAGCAGAAGGGGAAGGCAGCTGGGGGAAAGGTGTTTGATGCTGGTGCACATTAGAAGGCAGCGTATGTGTGCGAGGAGTATGTGTGCGAGGAGTATGTGTGCGAGTATGTGTGAGGATGTGCGTATGTGCGTGCGCGTGCGCATGTGCATGTGCATGTGCCAGCAGGGAAACGTACTAGGAGGGATGGGGAGACGGCCGGGAGGTAAGGCAGGAGGAGGAGCGAGTCAGTGAGGAAGGAGCGCAGAGAGGACGGGGCTGCAGAGGCCCACACGGACGAGCAGCACGCAATGTCCCGACAGGATGGGGTGAAGGCCACAAAGGCTGGGAAGCCTGGTGGGTGGCGTGGAGGGGGGTGAGGGGCAGAGTAGGGGAGAGGAGAGGGAGGGCAGGGGGAGGAGCGAGTCAGTGAGGAAGGAGCGCAGGGAGGAAGGGGTGGTACAGGCCCACACGGAGGAGCAGCAGGCAATGTCCCGACAGGATGGGGTGAACGCCACAAAGGCTGGGAAGCCTGGTGGGTGGCGTGGAGGGGGGTGAGGGGCAGAGTAGGGGAGAGGAGAGGGAGGGCAGGGGGAGGAGCGAGTCAGTGAGGAAGGAGCGCAGGGAGGAAGGGGTGGTACAGGCCCACACGGAGGAGCAGCAGGCAATGTCCCGACAGGATGGGGTGAACGCCACAAACGCTGGGAAGCCTGGTGGGTGGCGTGGAAGGGGTAAGAACAGAGATAGAGAGGGATGGTTCGGAGGTAAGGCAGGAGGAGGAGCGAGTCAGTGAGGAAGGAGCGCAGAGAGGACGGGGCTGCAGAGGCCCACACGGACGAGCAGCACGCAATGTCCCGACAGGATGGGGTGAAGGCCACAAAGGCTGGGAAGCCTGGTGGTGTGAGACGGGGTAAGTGGCGGAGTAGGGGAGAGGGAGACACAGTTGGGAGGTAGGGAGGTAGGGCAAGAGGAAGAGGAGGTTTTGGTTGACCTCACAAGGGATGAGTCAGAGAGGAAAGAGCACAGTCGAATGAAATGGGAAACGGAAATCATACAGCAGGGAGGAAGAACAGACAACACCACATTACACCACACCACGCCACACCACACCGCTTTGGAGGCACTATTCTTCAAGCAGCAACCAGTGAAGCACCAAGCACGAAGCATGATTCTTGAGGCGCCTCGACAACCAGAGCACAGAGGGCAGAATACGGAGCACGGGGCAGAGGGCAGAGGGCAGAGGGCAGAGGGCAGAGGGCAGAGGGCAGAGGGCAGAGGGCAGAGGGCAGAGGGCAGAGGGCAGAGGGCAGAGGGCAGAGGGCAGAGGGCAGAGGGCAGAGGGCGGAGGGCGGAGGGCGGAGGGCGGAGGGCAGAGGGCAGAGGGCAGAGGGCAGAGGGCAGAGGGCAGAGGGCAGAGGGCAGAGGGCAGAGGGCAGAGGGCAGAGGGCAGAGGGCAGAGGGCAGAGGGCAGAGGGCAGAGGGCAGAGGGCAGAGGGCAGAGGGCAGAGGGCAGAGGGCAGAGGGCAGAGGGCAGAGGGCAGAGGGCAGAGGGCACGAACCGGATCCAAAGCCGAAGGAGGAGCGGAAGCACTTGTGGTTGGCGAGAACCGATGCCAGTCGCCGCTGCTCCGATACCTCCACCCTGCCAAACCGCACCACACCTTCGAATTCCGATGCTGGAGCGAGAGGGGACACACAGAGAGGGAGGGAGGGTAGTGAGTCTCTGTTATGGGTCAATGGCTGAAGGGGGGAGTTGAAATAAACGGAAGGGGTACAAAGAAGAATCTGTAGTTCAGCGACTCAGGCAGTGTCATAGCTGCCTAAGCCGATGATTCCAGTTCCTGGAACCAACGATTCTTCCTTGTATCCCTTCCATTGATTTTAACTCACCCACCCAGTCACTCCCAGCACAGCACAGCACCGCATAGCACCCACCCAGTCACTCCCAGCACAGCACAGCACAGCACAGCACAGCACCGCACAACACCCACCCAGCTTCTCCCAGTGCGGGGCAAAGGCGCGCGACTGCGGCGAATAGATGGAGAAGATCTGGATGAGCCACGCGTCCCCGCCGCCCAGCACCTGCTGCCCAAAGTTGACAGCTGTCAGCGTCTTAGTGGCCGACGGCATGAGGTCTGCGGGAGGGGGGGGGAGGGGGGCAGGGGAAAAGGAGGGGGAAAAGAGGAAGGGGAGGAGGAGGAGGACGAGGAAGGGGAGGAAGGTGAGGAGGGGAGAAAGAGAGAGCATAGGGAAAGGGGGCAAAGGAGGAAGTTGGGAGGGGAACGGAGAGGATAAGAGAGGGAGGAGAAAACCAACACAAAAGATAAGAGGCATAGCTTCAATCAAAGCATGCCACAGGAATACTGAGGCACGGACACTAGGAAAGAGGACAAGTGAGAAGGTGCCAAAGGGGGAGAGAGCAAGTGGGGAAGAGACAAGTAAGGAGGGCAGGTGGTGTGGCGAGGACCAGAGGGGGAAACGGCGGTGATTTTCAAGAGTGTGGCTTCTTTCCCCCTTTGACCGGCATTTCAAATGGGGGTTTCACAATGTTTAAGAAAGAGCGAGCAAGGAGAGGGTAAGTGCAGCACGCACCGTCACTCTGCTGCTGTCCCCAGTGCGAGAAGAATGAGTCGGAGTAGGCATGATGATGCTGATAGCGCTGCTGCCTCTGGTACTGACCCCCGCCGCTGTGACCGTCCTGGTGTGATGGGAGGGATGCGAGGGGTGGGAGGGATGGGACGGGTGGGAGAGAAGGGAGAGAAGGGAAGGATAGGAGGGAAGGGAGGGATGGTGGGATGGGAGCAGTGGGACGAAGGGAGGGGTAAGAGAGGGGTCGGAGGGATGAGAGAAAAAATGTTTCACAACGCACCAGCCCACCTGGTCCCGTTACACAGTTCCATTTCTTTTCCCCTACCAAAACCTAGCAAAAGCGATGCGAGAAAGAGAGCCGCCTAACCCAACCCAGACACACAGAGTCATAGACCCCTCAGGCTGTCACCCGGCTCCTCACCTCATCAGCGCCGTAGCGGTCGAACCTCCTCCGCGCCTCCTCCTCCCCCACCATCTCATATGCCGCTTGCACTGACAGGAACCGCTCATGCGCTGCCTTTGCGCCCTGGTTCTTGTCCGGGTGCCTGTGTACAGGGAGGTTGGTTGCGGTTGCGTTGGGTTGGGTGGGGTTGGGAGGGTTGGAGTGCAGAGGGTAAGGTGAGTGACCTTGCGGTGCATCTGTTCGAGTCCACGTGTCCTCATAAGGGAGGGTTGGGATGGGGATGGAGCGGATGGAGTGATGAAGAGAGAAGTTTGGAGGAGAAGAAGCTGGGTTGAGGTAACAGCAGGGTAACAACAGGAGGATGATGGATGGAGAATGATGAGAACAATCTTAGATTCCAAACCCTCACTGCCCCTCCCTTCTCACTGTCCTTCTCACTCTCTTTCCTTCTTCTTGACAGCCGTTTGAGACACCACCCTCCCGTTCCCATCATCACCCCTGCTCCCACTCACCATAACCTCCCGCTCCCACCGCTCCCCACTCCTTCCACCGCTTCCACCGCTCCCCACCGCTCCCCACCGCTCCCCACTAGTCCCCACCGCTCCCCACTAGTCCCCACCGCTCCCCACTAATCCCCACCGCCCTCGTGCACTCACCATCGCCTGGCGAGCTTCTTGTACGCAGCGCGGATGTCCTGCTGTGACGCATCTTTAGCCACACCTAGCACTGGGGGGATACGCGCGACGGGGGACGCGGGGGAAAGGAAGGGCGTGCGTAGTGGGGGGGCGGGAAGAGAGAAGGGTGCGGATGGTGGGGGAGCGGGGGGAGGAAAAAGGGGGTCGGGGGGAAGAGGAAGCAGTGGCCGTGGGGGAAAGGGTGGGGGTGGGGAGGGGAGTTGGATTGTAAGAACGGGAAGGAACGGGAAGGAGAGTGAGGAGGATTAGGCAAAGGACATTAAGAAAGGTTGGATGTAGAAAGAGAGGCAGGGGTAGGAAAGAGGGAGGACGAACGGGAGGAAGTGGGAAGGTGGAAGTACGGCAAGGACGACCGTAGGCAGGCTGACACGTAGGCAGGCCGAACCGTTAGGCAGGCAGAGCAGCAAGACGAACCTTTGTAAGGATCGCGCACTTTCGAGCATGCGACGGGGGCAGGCGAGGGGAGGAACGGCAGATCGAGAAGCACTAGCAGAAGCGGCAGCAGCAGCGACGCCACCAGCAGCGAGACTACGGCGAGCAGCCCGAACAGACGGCTGAGATGACGCGCCATCGAAACGCCTTCGGACGGTAGTATCGCGCGTTGTCAAGAAGTGCGAATTGCGGTATGCCCCAGGCCTTGTCGGTTGACTCAACGGTCACCGCGGATGCGCCACTTACGCTAATCAACGGCAATTGCTCAACCAGATCACTCTAACAAATCTCTTTGCGGCTGCACCAAGAGCATCACCATCACCACGAGCACCAACGGCACCACCGGCACCGACCAGAGTAGTTAATAAACGCAAGTCTATGCGGCGCTGCGGTAATTCTCGAATACATTCATCATAACCCGTGGCGCTGACATCGGGTGGCGGCTGGAGAAACTTCGACTCCACGGACTACCTTCACTGCTTTTATCTAGGCGCCTCGATAGCAGCACTACGACAGCAGCGCGTCAGATCAGCTGAAGAGGATCAAATCAGAGAAGCCCAGGCACTAGTATCCTGTCCTCGCCGACGCAGCAGCTGCAGCTTCTTTGAAAGACGTACTGAGAGAATCGAGGCTTTGATGGGAGGCGCAACTGGGTGGAAGGCTTGCTGCGGCGAGACCCCTCAATGAATCTGTACGCGTTTGCAACATTTAGAAGGCGCAGCATACCAGACGTTTTGCAAAACATTCTGCACGCCATATGGACTACAGAAATTAAATACATAATCATCCGTCATATCCGTGCTCTTTTAATGGGAAAAAATGCAATAAAGCTCTCTGTTTCTATTTTATCGAAAGATAAATGGTGTGCTCGTATAGAATATATTATGTTTCAAAGAGTGGGAACAAATCACTGATAAATGCCGACAAGTCTAAAAGCTTTGCAATGTAAAAGTGCATTTAGCGTGAACGCGTACAATGGTTCCTTGCCACGATCCATCCATCCCTCCCAAAATCCCCAGCGACCCAGCCCCAACACAAATTCCATTCACAGCCCATTCATTCCATGGCTCTGACTGTCTGCTCATCGCGCCTCTTACTCCGCTCTTCCTCCTCCGCCTTTCCAATCTCTGCTGTGTCTCAGTCACGCTCGTTCCCGCTCCTGTCGGGCTCCCATCGAACTCTCTCGTCGCCTGTTTCTGAATCCCCTACAAGCTTGCTTGTTTCTCGGAGTTTGTCCAGCGTCGGAATCTGCCGGGGGGATTTGAGTTCCACAAGTGTGCACCACGTTAGACATTCTTACATTCCGCTTCGGTAAGTAATGCCGTTGTTTATCTATGTGCATTTTTATTTGCTGTATTTCCCGCCATTTACCAAATAGCGTTGCGCTGTTGGCCACCCGTCAGAATGCCGCTACCGATTCTGAATCACTAGCGTCCAATCACAAAACGTTTCGTTTCCACTGAATATCAACCGTGCATTATCGTGCAGAAGAGCGCCGGCCTCAGCCTCTGCGACAAGCCCTCGTCGATTCACCACCCGCAGCATTGTAGCAATGGCGGGAAGCAACGAGGAAGCTGCCGCTAAGGCAGCGTCGGCGGCTGCGGATTCAGGCAACCCCACCATGTGAGGGAGAGGGCAATGGCTGAGGGTGGTGTTGGTTGAGGGAGGGGGAGAGAGAAAGGAGACTGAGTAGAGTAGAGAAAAAAATGGTGTGAGGGGAAAACGTGAGAGAGAGGGAAGGTTGATGGTGAAAGTAAGGGGGGGAAGGTGTGGAATGAGGTGCAACTTGAGAGGGTGGGTGGGGTGTGCATGTCGGCACGTCTATTTCCCTAAGAGCCTCTGAGGAAGCTTCCTGGTGATGGTTCTCATCTCGTTTGCCCTGCTTTATCCTCACCTCACAGCCTTATTTAAGATCTGCACTCCTTTGCCTGCAGATTTGATAAGATTGTGCGCAAGGAAATCCCTGCTAATATCGTGTATGAGGACGACGAGGTGAGAAGGGCGTTTAGCTCAGCGCAGTTGCTTTTGTCTCACATATACACGATCAACGCAGATTCTTCTCCTCCTCCCCGTTCCTCCTGCCTTTTTCTGCACTGTCTCTTTTTGTTCCCCCCCTCTTCGCCATCAGCTGTGCAACCGTTTGTTCTTTCCTCCCCTTTAAACATTGTCATCTCTTTGATTTGCAAAAATCGTGCGGGTGTTGCTGGCTGGCAGGTGATGGCCTTCCGAGACATCAGTCCCCAGGCGCCAGTGCACATTATTCTCATTCCCAAGAACAGGGACGGCCTCACACAACTCTGCAAGGTAAGTGCTGCCCCACAGGGCCCCCACTCTCGTATCAGCACCATGCGCATGATTCTACGGTATGTTTCTTCTGGTTTGTCTAGTCCAACTCGCGATTGTTTTCATCTCTCCCTCTCTCTGCTTCTGAACCCTGTGTCCTGATAACCTCTCCCCTCCATATCTATCTTCCTTGTTTCTTTTCTCCCTCAGAGTCCGTCACTCTCTGGTATCCTTCTTTTCGACTTCCATGTGCTTTCAGTTTCCTCATTTCTGTTTCCAGCTCCCTCTGCCCTCCTTGGTATACCACAGGCAGAGGAGAGGCATGCAGCAATCCTGGGTAAGCTGCTGCTGGCAGCGCGGAAGGTAGCGATCAACGAGGGCCTGGTGCCAAACGGGTATCGCATTGTCATCAACGACGGGCCCGATGGATGTGAGTTTGGGAAGCTTGGAGGAACGAGGATAGGAGGGTGACGGGTGGAGGGATCTCAAGCTGTGTGCAATTTAGAATGGTAGAGCGAATATGGACGTCTTTGTGCCTTGGTTTTCCGATCCACGTTTGAAATTGTGTTTTTCCTTTATTCTGGGTGGGTTTGTATGGTTTTATCCTGAGCAGGCCAGTCGGTGTACCATCTTCACATCCATATCCTTGGTGGCCGCCAGATGAAGTGGCCTCCTGGCTAAGTTAGAGTAGGGGCTACATAGAGGCTACGAAGTTAAGAACGTGTGGTGGTTCTGCAGCATATATGCTTGCAAAAGTGGGAATATACGTCCAATTTATTGCTGCCATTCATGTTTTCAGACATGTATGTGTTGATTTTCCAGTTATCCACTGTAACACTATTACAGCAAATCAGAGGAAATCTCTTTGGCGCCTCGATGTTTGTGAGTGGAACACAGGGGTCAGCGCCGCGGGGAGTGTGAAATCGTCGTTGTCAGTCACTCCACGCGAAACCAGGAATCGTCAACCCTGGTGTTGTTCTACCTTCATCCCCATCTCCTAGAGACTATCGCATTCTGGCAAACCTAGGTATTGTTTTCTCCTCCTAGCGCAGCTCCACGTCAACACTGGGTTTGTTTTCAGGCGAGCCGTGAGAGGGTTCCAGCTATGCTCCTCGAGGTTACCCTTCTGCTGCTTTTGAGTTTCGAATTTCAAATGACGACTCGCCACCACCCTCGGCGGGCGTCCGTCGCACCTTTCGCATACCTCGGTCCCCGTGACGCGCAGGAGCCAGGGAAGCCCAGCACAGGACCCCCTTTCGAGAACCACCGAGTCTTGGTACATAGCATCGAGCCCGCCTCATTTTCTCGTGTTGGCCTCTCTTGCTTCGCGAAGCAAGAAGTACCACTAGCAAAGGGACGCGTTGAGCGAGAAGGGGAGATTAGCTACTGGTATCACTACTCAGATTGCTGCTCTAAGCCATGGAAACGACTCCGTTGCGACGCAGTGGCAGAGCGAGCCTTTTCCGAAAGTCACTGAAAGAGTGCGTTGATCCGCGTCGCGTTCTTTGCAAGCTTCATCTCACGCTTTGTTAATCCCTTTTTTTGTCAAGGAACGCGTGCGTTGAAGCTTACACACGCACATTACTCTACCTCGGCTAACTCTTTCATCGGCTTGCAGGGTGGAAAACGACGATGATCAAGAATGGCAGCCGCCCAGCGATGCCGAACCCGACGCTCCTCCTGCTGGCGACATGAGCGACGGTGACGAAATAATCGCGAAAGCTTCGCGACCTAAGAAGACCCCCAATAAGGCTCCGAAAACGACCGCGGCTTCGGAGAAGAAGACCTCCTCGAGCCGCGTGCAGAAGAAGAGCAAAAAACGAAACTCTCGAGCTTCGCCAAGTGCTTCGCGAAAGACTGCTTCTGCAGCGGCTGCGGCCGCTGGAACTTCTGAAACGAATGCGGTAAGCATGCTTGCGTGAAACGGCTCGTTTCTGTTATCTTCTGACTGACCTACGTTTTTCCAGCTCGTGTTCAGCTCAGGCACATGACGGAACCTTAGTTCAATCTTAACGGTTTCTGTCCGCGTTTGTGGATTTCAGGATAACGAAGTGGGGGAGGATCCGATGATCGAGGAAGGGGGAATCAGCAACGTGACGCGCTATGCTTCGTCCTTGCACTGTAAGGATCACAATTCTTTCCTTCCTTGATTGCACTGCTTCGGTTCTTGATGCTACAGCTATGTCAATATAATCAACCTTATTTTACCTTTCGTCCCGTTATATTTCTTGTTTATTGCAGTGACAGCACAGAACAAACGAGCCAAGGATGTGGAGAAAGCGGCTAAGAGGTGGACGAGGCAGTATGAGAAAGAACCTATGACTGCCCTGTCAGCCCTTCTGATCTTCCACTTCCAGGTGGGTTTGATTGAAACCCCAAGACATCTGCTGCTTCTTTTCGTTCGTTTGATTCTCAGACTGGCCTGGTGTTAGCATTTCGTTCGGCATGTGCATCACCGTGTTGTGGTTTGCTGTTGCAGGCTTGCGGCTGGAGAGGATCTGAGGACATCTCAAGCCACGTTGGTGATGGTGACGTGGACACTGTCGTGCGTTTCCTTGTGGATCAGGCCAAGGAGGTACACCACTGTACCTTTTCATTTTTCTTCACTTATTCTGCTCCTGTAGATCGATCGAATTTTATACCACTACGCCAACAACATGGTTGCCATATGCTTTACTACGGAGAAGCTTATAATGAATATTTTCTGGCGATGTGCAGGGCGAGGTGGAGGATACGCTGGGCTCTGCGTGGCCGCATGCCAAGAGCGTCCGCTCCTACAAGGCGAATCTGGAAACCTTCTGGCACAGCCTTATGATAGAAGCTCAAGATGGGCCGCTGTTCGATGGAATACTTATGGAGAAGTGTATCAACTATATCACCCTGTTGGCATGGTAAGACAGAGCGCTTGCTGCCAGATCTTCGTACCCTTCTGGTATCTGTAAGAAAATAAAATACTTCGTAGCTTTTCGCCTTCAGCTCACGTGTTTCTTCCTCGTGTTGTTTCTTGCAGCAAGGCTCCTCGAATGTTCCGGATCATTTCCACCCTTGTGGGCCTTCGCATGGTTACCACGCTGGTAGAAATCGCCAGCACTATGGGAGAAGCACGCGCAACCACACAGAGGCAGATCAACGCAGAAGCTATGCGGAGCGGCAGCAAGGAAGAGAATCCCCGCATGGCTCTGCTCAGGAGCACGTTGGAGAATCTGCATACCAAGATCGTGGGGGTGGAGGAAATGATGACCCAACTCTTTTCAGGGTAAAGCACCAACGCACACACACCCTTCCACTGATATTTTTGTTCCACGGCCCTGTGCAGCATTTATGCCATCTCTGGATTTCGTACTTGTAACTAATGTGTACACCTTGTTTCCATTACAGGTTCTTTACTCACCGCTTCCGGGATGTGATGCCAGAGATCCGCGGTGCCTGCGTGGCATCCCTCGGATCCTGGATATCCGGTTACCCCAGCGTCTTTTTAGAAGACCGCTACCTCAAGTACCTGGGCTGGGCTCTCAGTGACCAGGTGGGTGTGTCAGTGACCAGGCAGTTAAAGGTGCCTAACAGGTAGCAAGCTAACCCAGTGTCTTTCTAGAGGACCGCTACCTCAAGTACCTGGGCTGGGCTCTCAGTGACCAGGTGGGTGGGTTCGTCAGTGGCCAGCCGTTAGAGGCGCTTATCAGATCGTCAGCCACCCCTGCGTTTGTTTCGGAGGCTGCGCTCTTGAGTACCTGGACTGTCCGCTTGTGATGCTCCCATTCATCCCTTCACGCGTTTTATTCTTGTTATGCTTTTTTTTTTTTTCGCTGCTGCTGGCCAATGGCAGGAGTCGATTGTGAGGCAGAGCAGTCTGCAGGCACTCAAGGCGTTGTACGAGGATGAGGACTGCATTGGCGCGCTCAGCCTCTTCTCTGAGCGCTTCTCCCCGCGCATCATCCACATGGCTGATGACGTGGACGCCAGCGTGGCAGTGACCTCCGTCCAGGTTGCAGCACTCCTGCTGAGGTCAGTCACGAATCATGACGTGCTGCTGCTCAATCACTGTCAGAATCCGTTCCTTTGCTCCTCATCTTCACACTACGTTGGTCTTTCAGTACACATGCAGTAACCTGCTCCCCAGTTTTCATACCAAATTTTTTGTTTATCTGTTCTGTCTTGACTCTCCTTCTCCCAATATGCACACAGGCATCAGCTGATACACTTGGATGAGGTGCGGCCAGTGCTGGAGCTAATCACAGACGATCTGAGGGCTGTGCGCCTGGTGGTGGCGGACCTCATAGCAGACCACTACCTCCCAGCCAAAGTGGCGGAAGCTCCTCAGACCTCCAAAGGTCAGTCAGTGTGCCTGTAACGGTCATTGGCTTGTCGTGAGGCAACTTACTGAGTTTTCTTTTCCTTTCTCTCCCTACACATTTCTCGTTCTCCTCCGCGTACCCTTCCACACCTTTTCCAATGGCTTAGTTGGTTCATTGCAGATTCCATTGCTTTGCTAGATAACCTGCTCGTAACACCGCGTATGCAGCTTTGTCATGTAACCCTGTCACCCTGCCTCCTGTGCGGAACACGACCCTAAACCCTAAACAGACGATGCAGGAGTGAAGGGAATGCACGACGGGCAGCTGCAGCCGCTGTTGGATCTGGTGGGGGAGTTCACCAGCAGTGACGCGCACATGGAGATGCTCGTGGACGCTCTCTGGGACAAGTGCAGAGTGCTGCAGGTGAGCCTTCTGCCATCAACCGGCCAGCCAGCCAGCCAGACCCCAGCTGTTCAAGCAGGCAGGCAGCCAGTTGGAAACACGTGGCACCACCTTGTTTTGGTGTGAAGTTGTCCGTTAATTTCAACAGTAGCTGACTAATGGTTTTGTTATTGCAGGACTGGAAGCTGATGGCCAAGTCCCTCCTGGCCGACCAGGCAGGGGCACACGGGAAGGGCAAGAGGAGGGAGGTGAACGGGGAGTCTCTCTCCCTCTGCCGCCTGCTCCTTGCGTGCGCTGAGCGCGGCACTGCCGCTGGGATTCACTCTAACCGTGGGGATGGTGCTGCTGGTCCTGGGAGGTTTCCTGGGAAGGTGAAAGCCGCGTTTGGGTCCCCCAGTTCAGCCCACAAGACTCCTTCGAAGAAGCAGCAGGTATCATATCTTTCTTCGCCATGTGCCTGTCGGTTCCTCCTCTCCTCCTCTTTCTCCCAGAATTTTCTCTAAAATCTCTCGCCAAGTCGCCTTGGTGCTCATTCGGACCATCTCCCTGATCCTTGCTCTCTCCCCTGTGTTGTGTGTGTCTGTGAGCAGGAGGGAGCAGCAGTAGTGCAGGGCGAGATGACAGGAGCACTCATGAAGCACCTTCCCGGCATCATCACTCGCTTCCTGCCCGACGCGGATCATCTGCACATCGTGCTCTCCATCGCCCCTCTGCTGCAATTTGACCTCTTCGCCACACGCCACCAGGAAGCTGTGAGTCACATTTTCTCTGAGGTGACTTTTGAGTCGACGCATAAGTCTCCTCGTGCTCTCAATCGCCCCTCTGCTGCAGTTCGACCTCTTTGCCACACGCCACCAGGAGGCCGTGAGTCCTACTCGTTCTTGTGCTGCCTCCTCCTCGCCTCAGGCATGTCCTTTTACCTCAGCTGCTCCACTCCACACCCCTTTCTCTTTCCTACCCAGCCCAGCCTCTTCCTTCCGTTCTTCCAAGCTACATCATCCGTGTCTCTTTCTCCATACCTTTCCTCACTCCGTCTCCCTTCTGTGGAACTTCTTCAACTGCCATCCTGCCTACCCCTACTCCACCCCCCAACCCCAACCCTTCCTCACCCCTCCCCCACGCCCTTCATTCCCCTCCCCATCCACCAGAGCTTCACCAGTCTTATGGCAGCCTTACACGATGCCTTCCTGCGCCACACAGCAACGCCAATTCTCGACGCAGCCATTGCCGCGGCAGCAGCAGCAGTGGAAACGGCGCCTGCAGAGCTGAAGGAGGAGGCGCAGCGTTTAATGGAGGATCTATCGAGTGTGGTGCTGCAGCAGCTGGATGAAGCTGTGAAGACATTTGACGAGGTGGGTACTGAGCTGTGGTGAGGTGAGGCATATCTTGGTAGCTGCTGTGGCTGGTACTTGTCCTGTAGAGCTATTCACAGCTGCAGTTTCCGTGCTGTGCGTTTCTCTTATGCTTTCCACCTTCGGTTCTCTGTCTTCTCAGGATGATGACAGAAGTGTGGGCGTTGATGGTGACTTTGACCGCCTGCTGGCCTCGCTGTCGCGACTGCAAGCGCTGCAGCTGGCAGGGCAGCGCATGCCAGCAAGCATCACAGACACCCTGCAGAAAATCATCTCCAACCCACTCATGGTGTCGTCTGATGAGGTCAGTAGGTGGCTATGCTACGTGTTTTGAGGTGTTTTGAGACGTCTCAAAACTCCATCACAGACGCACTCACTGCAAAAGATCATCTCTAGCCCACTCATGGTGTCATCTCATGAGGTCAGTGACTCAGAATACCATAACTGATGGGACTGGCTGTGTGGGTGCTTCAGCTTGCATGGAAATGCCTTCTGCTTGCATTCTTCTGGCGAGCTTTTTTCCTCAACATCTTCTCAGTTCAAGCCATCTTTCATGCCTGCAGGTCTTCTTGTCATCATCTGATGCCATGCTTTTTTGCTTCCTTATTGCCATCTGTCGCGCTCCTTCCCCCCATTACAGGTTCAAGCAGAGGCGCTCACGTGCTGCTTCCTCGATGTGGTCGCAAGCTACGGAGACATCACCGCGGAAGGCGTGAGCGAGAAAGACACAGCTGATACCACAGCGGACATCACTCGAGTGGATGTGCGCCTGCGATTCCTGCTCCTGCACCTGGAAACATCCATCAAAAGCATCTCTTCCTCTTCGTCCTCGCACCAGCTGCCCACAGCAGCTCGCACCTTCAATAACAGGCGCGCTTCTGGGCCAAGTGGGGCCAAGGGGGCATCAAACACAGGCACCAAGTCCATGGTGAGTGCCCATCTTTGAGACGTCTCAAAGTAGAGCCTAGTCGCCAAGTATTTAATGAGTCTGGATTACCATGTTATCATACAATCACTTCTCCTCCTTGCTGTTTGCTGTTTTTTTCCCTTCCACGCCTGCAGCTGGTGCACCTGTGCTCGGACGTGTGGTCTGTCTTCTCCCCATCCAAGCTGAACGGCACGCCCATGCAAACCCTGGCATCTGCGCCCTCTGCTTCCACTGTGGAGGCCTTCTGGCAGGCATGCCTTGGCATTATTCACACCTGCTGTAAGTACCTCTCAAGTACCTTACAAGTACCTCTCGAAGATCTCAAGTAACTCTCAAATACCTTCCATGTGAGTGACTCTTTCTTATCTCAACCGGACTGAGTGCCTCTCAACCGGACTGAGTGTTCCAGGGTCCATTCACAGCAAGTCCGACTTTCAGTGTTCTTGCTCTGTGGGGTGCATTATGGGAAGGAGCTTTACAGTGGTCCTCAGCACCTAACTTTTATGTCTTTTTTTATTTTTTTGTGGCTGTTGTAGCGAACGGTCATGGGGAGCAGCTATCGAATGGGGATGTGGCGGTGATTGCAGCAGCCAAGCTCATAGCCGGAGGCCTTCTACCGCCTGTGAGTTTTCTTCCACCTGGATTCCGAAGTCTACCTTTACTGAATCTCAAGATCGTGCTACCAGCTCTGCCTTGGGCATCAAAGCATATACTTTGCTAACCTGTCTCTCTGGCTTTTGTTACCCCGTCTCTCTGCCTCTCCCGTCTGCCGCACCTCCATGCCCTCTTCTCGTCTGCCCCTCTGCTCTGATCTCCAGACGTATCTTGCTCCGCAGCTGCTGGCTCTGCTGGTGGGCCATGGGTGGGCGGCAGCAGCAGTGGTGAAGCACATGGCAGAGCGCATGAGGCACAGCAGCAGTGGCAGCAGCAGCAGCAGTGTGACGGATGAACAGATGTGGAAGCTGTGCTATGACGCAACACGCCTGGTATGTAACCACAAAACTTGGCCACATGGCTTGTGCCACACAATTATACAGCCAGGCTAATGACAGTATCCCATTCCTCAAATTACCCTGGCTTGTTGTTTGACCACACCAGCTTTTCTCATTTGGCCTGTTTCTTGTGAGCTTGACATACCGTCCCCCCCTCTCCCTGGTCCTGCAGGCATACGAGCGGCATCTAAGGGAGATCGGAGAGGACGAGGACGACGAGGCAGACGTGGAGTCGTACCTCATCTGCAAGGACCTCACCCCGCAGCTGCTGCTGCTCTGCGGGGGCCCAGCAGCAGTGCGCGGGGCAGCTGGCAGCGGCAGCAGGTTGAGCGACGCGGTGCAAACGGTGTTGTCTGCGGTGGTGAGGGATGGAGCTGGGTTCGTGCTGGAGGATCCGAGGCGGAGAATGCTGTTTGTGGATGTTGCAGTGCTCGGGTTTGCGAGGAACCTCAAGCCGGCCACTGCTGCTCCAATGTACGTGCCAGACACACTTCTGCCTTTTAGATTTTGTGTCAGTTTGCAATGGTGATCAGATTTTCAGTCAGGCTGCATCCCACCCCTCAGTTCTCTCCTGCTCCCCTCTTCCCCGCACGCTCTCCGCACCTTTTTTTAACCCAGCCTCCCTTTCTGAATCCCAAACCCTTTGCCTTTTGCCCACACTCATACTGTCTTGCTACCTTCCTTGTCCGACCCACATGAGCAGCCTTGCTGAGCTTAAAACGCGTACAGCCCACCTCGACATGGAGGACGAGCCTCAGCTCTGGCGCCCACTGCTCACCCTGCTAGACTGCCTGGAGGGCAAGGCTGGTAACCACACTGGTAACCACACGGGGGCTGGTGGACAGGCCAATGGAGCAGCAAGGAACGGGCAGGGAGGAGGAGAGGGTGGGGAGGACGCAGGAGAGGAGGAGGATGACGTCATGCCAACTATGACGCCGCCCAGAGTGAATCAGCGCGTGGCTAAGCGTAAGTTACTACATGTCGCCCTGTGTTCCTAGTTTTGAAACGTCTCTGCTTTGATATTTTTCAGAGTTTCGTGTAGCACTCTGTACATAGCTAGCTAGCGGCCTCCCAATTCTTGTCATTAAGAGGCATTTTCCAGACTCCCTCCTGTCAATTCGTCCTATTAATCCTCTCTTTCTTTTTTCCTTCCTTTTCTGTATTGTTTTTTCATCAGGTCACAAGAAGAAGCCTGCGCTCAAGACCATGCGGCGCAGGCCCCAGGGAGCAGAAGCTGAGGCGGGGACATCTGACGAAGATGATCCAGGGAACACGCTTGGGGGAGGAAGGGCAACGCGCAGAGATGAAGGGAGGGATTATGGCAGCAGGGAGCCGCGTGGTGGCAGAATCGGTGCCAGGTACAAGGATGCTGGTGTTACCCCTTCGCATGCCCCTGAGCCAACTGCGGCTACTGTGCCTGCTGCTGCTGCTACGTCTGATGCTGCCGATATTGATGCTGAGGATGGTAGCGGTGGTGACAATACACGTGGACTGGATTCTGCTGGGGCAGCGGCGCCAGCAGCAGCAGCCAGTGGCAGGGGGCTGGTGTCAGCAGTGACGTATTCACGCAAGAGGAAACTGGCTGCGAACAGACAGAGGGAGGATGAGGAAGACAAGAGGAGTGAGGGAGAGATGGGGGTTGCGGAAGAGAAGAGGGATGAGAGAGAGGATGAGGGAGAGAAGGTCGGTGACGGAGAGAAAGGGTTAGGAGGGGACAAGGAGGCCGAGGTGGACAAGGCGGATGCAGCAGACAAGGAGGATGACGGAGGGGCGTGGGACATTTTCAAAGATGATGGTGAGGAAGAGGATAGGCAGAGCGCAGAAGAGACTATGGTTGGGACGCAAGGAAGGAAGGAGGCTGCTGGGGAGGCTATTGCTGAGAGTGCTCCTTTTGATGCTATGGATACCGCAGAATCTGATGAGGAAGAGATTAAGGCGTCCGGATCAGGCAAGGGTGCCGCGAGTGCTGATGAGACTGGTGGGAGCAGCGGCGGGAGCAGAGGAGGTGGGAGCGATGGGGATGAGTGGGAAGAGGTCGATATGCGAGAGATGGAGACGAGGCGGCATAGTGATGCTGCTAAGAAGGCGGAGTTGGAGCTGCAGGAGAAGAGAGAGGCTGAGAGGGAGAAGGAGAAGGAGAGGGAGAGGGAGAAGGAGAGGGAACGGATGGAGAAGGAGAGGGAAAGGGAGATGGAGATGGAAAGGCAAGTAAGGGAGGAGAGAGAGAGGGTACGGAAGGAGGAGAGGGAGAAGGTTCGGAAGGAGAAGGAGAGGTTGAGGGAGCAAGAACAAAAAGAGGAGAGGGAGAGGGAGCGGAAGGAAAAGGAGGAGAGGGCGAGGGAACGGAAGGAAAAGGAGGAGAGGGAGAGGGAACGAAAGGAGAAGGAGAAGGAGAGGCAACGGAAGGAAAGGGAGGAGAGGGAGAGGGAACGGAAGGAGAAAGAGGAGAGGGAGAGGGAACGGAAGGAGAAGGAGAAGGAGAAAGAAAGGGAACGGGTGGAGAAGGAGAAGGAAAGGGAGAGGGAGCGGAAGGAGAAAGAAAGGGAGAGAGAACTGCAGCAGAGGAAGATGGAGAGGGAGAGGAAACAAACGGAGGAAAAGAAGAGGGAGAGGGAGAGAGAACAGCTGGAGGAGAGAACAAAGAAGAGAGAACAAGCAGCGGCGAGGGAGAGGGAGATTGAGCAGGAGCAGCAGAAGCAGCAGCAGCAGCGGCAGGGAGTGGATGCAGAGATGGATCCAGTACCAGTGAGCGTGGCCTATGAGCGCAAGAGGAAGCGAGCTCAGGATGTAAACCAGGAGAGAGGTGAGGGGGAGATGCAGGCTGGTCAGCAGCAGAAGCAGGCTGTGACGACATACACACGTGCGAGGAGGCAGGGGGGTGCTAGCGTGGAAAATAAGGCTTCTGACGTGGACAAGAGAGGTGCAGGGACGGAGGGCGAGAAGCATGAGATGGGGCGGGGATTGGGAAGGGAGGGTGTGAGAGGAGCTGGAGTGAGGGATGCGAGAGAGGAGCAGAAAGAGGAGGTGGTGACAACTGTGGCGAATACCATGCTGCTGGATTTGAGTGATGAGGAGTGCTCCCTGTCGCCCTTGGAGCTTGGTGCAAGGGAGAGTCAGGAGAGGGGTGAGGTTGCTGTGTCTGCTGCGCGCTGGGGTAAGGATGTGAGGGGTCAGGTGGTTCAGGAGCAAGGTGCTGGTTGTAGGAGCGCTGGTGTGAAACCTGCTGCTGCTGCTGGTGCTTTTGGTGGTGCTTCTGGTGGTGCTGCGGCTGCTGCCGCCGCTGCTGGTGCTGGAATAAGGAGAAAGGTGATGGAGAAGGAATCAGAAAGCGAGGAGGAAGAGGAGGGGGATGAGGAAGATGAGGAGGAGGAAGAGGACGAGGAAGCGGAAGGTGAAGAGGAGGAATCGACAGAGGGTGACAGCACTGAGGGTGAGGAGGAGGAAGAAGAGGAGAATGCGCAAGAGGTTGCTGTGAAGGTTCCAGACGCAAGATTTGCAGGGAGGGCGGTTGCAGAAGCAAGAACCAAGGCGCAGGGTGAAGTTGGGACCAAGGAACAGAGCCTACAAGCTGCTGCTGCTGCTGCTGCTGCCCAGGGTCAGAGAGGACGGGAAGACCCTGCTGCTGGTAAAGGCGCATCTGGTAATGTGTTAGAGAGAGCGGTTGCAGCCCGGCAAGAGAGGAGCATGGTGATGGAAGTTGAGGATGTGGAGGAGGATGATGAGGAAGATGATGAGGAAGACGAGGAGGAGGAAGAGGAGGGGGATGAGGATGAGGAGGACGGGGAGGATGAGGAGGACGAAGAGGAAGAGAGTGACGAAGGGATGGAGCAGGAGGGGAGGAGGGCGCAGGGAGGAGATGTGCAAAGCAGGAGCAGGCAGGTAGAGCAGGGGATGCGGCCTCTTAGGCCTGTTGAAGCCGCAGCAGCCGGGGGAGCAGCAGCAGCAGCAGCAGCTGCAGGTAGAGGAGGATCAGTGGCAGGAAAGGCAGCCCAGGCTGGGAGCAATGCGGCTGTTGGTGCTGCTGCAGCCAGGGTTCCAGGGGTGGTGAATGGTGGGGTGGCCGGTGGTCTTGGTGTGGGGGGAGCGAGTGGAAGGGGGCAGATGGAGATAAGTATAGAGGATGGGAGCGGAGAGGAGGAAAATGAGGAGGAGGATGGGGACGAGGAGGAGGAAGAGGAGGGAGATGAGGAGGGGAGTGAGGAGGAAGAGGATGAAGAGGGAGATGAGGAGGAAGGGAGTGAGGGCGAGTGGGAGGAGACGAGTGTGGATGGTTCTGCATCTGTTCGGGCAGCGAGTCAGGCCAAGGATGGTGCTATGGCGAAGACAGGCAGGCAGGGAGAGGTTCCTGTGCAACGAAGAGAGGCTACTTCTGCTGATATGGCTGCTCGCATGCGCCAACAGCAGCAGCAGAAGTTGCGGCTGAGTCAGCAGCAGCAGGAAATTCGGCTGAGTCAGAAGGATATGCGACTGAATCAGCAGCAGACAATGAGGCTGAGTCAGCAGGAGGATGTGCGGCTGAGTCAGCAGGAGATGCGATTGAGTCAGCAGCAGGGAATGCGGCTGAGTCAACAGGAGATGAGGATGAGTCAGCAGGAAACGCGGATGAAGAAGCAGCATGACGTGCGGCTGAGTCAAGAGGAAGTGAGGCTGAGTCAGCAGCAGCAAGAGATGCGGTTGAGTCAGCAGGAACTGCGACTAAGTCAGCAGCAGCAGCCGGAGGTTCGGCTGAGTCAGCAGGAACTGCGACTGAGTCAGCAGCAGCAGCGCGAGCAGCAGATGCGTGAGAGAATAAGGCAGCGGCAGCTGCAGCTGCAGCAACAGCAACAACAGCAACAGCTGCAGCAGCAGCAGCAGCAGCTTCAATTGAGGATGAGGCAGCAGCGAGAGGTGGAGCTTCGCCAGAAGCAGGGTCACGACCAGAAGCAGAGGGGCGAGGGGACCAAGAACATGCAGGATGTTGTAGAGTTGTCAGATGACAATGATGATGAGGATGACGAGGATGAGGAGGAAGATGGGGATGAGGAGGAAGGAAGCGGGGAGGAGGAGGGTGGGGAGGAGGAGGATGGGGAGGATGAGGAGGAAGGTGAGAGCGAGGATGGGGACGAGGAAGAAGAAGAGGAGGATGATGACGATGACGACGATGATGATGAGGTGAGATGGTAGTCTGCAGTAGCCTCGTCTTGAGTTTGCGAGCACCAACAAACATATTGCCGAGCTTTGTCAACACAACCTGAACTGTGTCTGTTGTGCTATAAGGTGTTGTTGTTTCTGTTGTGTGTGGCTGTTGTTGCAGGTAACCTCCCCAAATTGAGACAAAATACGCTGTGCTTGGAACATGAACCACCAGCTTTTGCACCATTTTGGCTTCACCCACATTGAAGTTTGATTTCATTTTAGACTCTGTTTCTGAAGGGGTCGGTTTTTAGCTTTTCTCATGTCATGTCTGTCAGATTTTCACAACTTACATCAATTTCCATTTTAACCATCCCATCTATTTCTGTCACTTCTCATTGGATGTAAAATAGGCGAATCAAACTGATTTTGTACAATAGGCTTTCTGTTTTTGTTCCATCAACTTATGGTTTGCGTTTCCAAGTGTTTCTTATTAGCTTGAGTAAGAAGCCCCCCTAGATTACTGTAGTCTACAAGAATCTTACTATTCACCACTTGTAACGGTAGAAATGGAGCATCGCAACAGCGAGAACAGTTTCTAACGAGCCAGATCCTTCTCGTGTTGGAACCTGCGTGTTACCAGGCTTTTTGTATTCGACAAAACACGGTTCAGTACGGTGGCACTCGTTCAATTACGGCAAACTCTGCAGCTTGACAAATCGCCTGACAGATTTGTATTCTGTCTGTATGGCTTGCTCGTGGTTGCGACTGTGCATTCTAGAATCTAGGTTCGACGTAGGTGAACTCTAGGTTCTCCCACATCACCTCGAGATTCCCAGACCAGCCTTTACCCAGCTCTGGCGCATCGCAGATTCGCTTCTAGTTTCAGGCGATCACCAAGGCAATCCGCATTTCTCGCCTTGCGACGCGGATTGGCTCGAACGGGCCTTTCATCTCAGCCGCTAACTTTTGTCATCGTACGGCAGTCCGTTTGAGCTCCCGAAGGTCAGTAGATTATGCCTAACCATGATCGTATTCCATGATTCCAGTACCATTTCGGAACTTCGCCGATCTGCTGCTGCTCTTCATCCCCTCGGCCTGTCCATTCCCCGGCTCTCACGTGCTCCCGAACCGCTGCCATAGCCAAATCCAGTCGAACCAACGTCATATCTGAAAAGCATTCCGGCTAGATTCTAGGTCAATCGTAGGGTGCCAAGCCATAGCGTCGTCACAGCTTCAGCTGCGTTTGATGCCGGTGGTAACAATCCTCAACCCCAGAGCATCCTACGAATTATCAAATTTCTCCATTTTGTCCGTCCGCCCGTTTGTCTTCTTTTCCATTTGTCCTTTTTTTTTCTCGGATGTCCGTGTGCCAAATCTCCCGTCCGTTCAGCGTGCCAGGCGATGGCGTCGCCGCAGCTGCAGCCGCGGCCGCCTGTCGCCGGGGGAATGGCGGATTCGAGCCGGCCCGCAGCCGTGAATCAGGGCTACAGCCTCGCGTCCTCGTGGGAACACGTAGGTCAATCAGGCAGCATATTATGGTCCTTGGTGGAAGTTATATGGAGTTAAGATCAAGTCTAGGGGAGCGAGAAGGAACGGACGAGCACGGATTGGATGCTTCAAATGGAAGCGAATACGGCCACTGGCCTTTCCGTGCGGCCTTCAAGACGATTCGAAAGTCACTTGTTTATGCTGGTTGTCTCGTTTATCATCTCCTCTTCCACAACCCTTCCTGTCCCTCCCACTCCTCACATATCCGCTCCAACTCTCGACCGTTCCATTTCTCCCCACCTTTCCTCTCCCCAATCTCCCGACTTTCTTCCCTGGATCACGGCTCAGAATGCACCACTGTCAGAGCGACAGCTGGCGACAATCGCGATGCTCGCGAATGTGGCCGGTAACCGCTCCCTGCCACCCCACCTGGTGCGTCTCGTGGCCAGACCTGCACGTTCCATCGTCTTCGCGCCCTGTGTCTCACTCACCCTTGACACCGCGCTGGTCCTTCACACATACTGCACCTGCCTTGTCCCACACCACCCCAATGCAACCTCCATTCTGCCTGCCTGTCCGTCCCTCTTCCCCTCCCGCACAACTTCTCCCTGCTGTCGTCTACCCCCTCTTTCCCCCTCCCCTTCCCCCCCCCCTTTCCACCCCCCCAACCTTCCGCTTTACACTGCTCTCGGAATCAGGAAGGGAATGGGAAGGAGGGACGAGAGGAGAGCGCAGCGACAGCAGCAGGCGCAGTGGGGGGAGAAGGGGGAGCGGACGATGGGGAGGAGGGCGAGGAAGAGAGCGATATGCTGTTGCTAGTCAACAGCCACCAGGTAACCCTCGTCGCCTTGTGCCCAGTACACAATTCAGTTGTCTGAAGAAGATTCAAACGGGAAAAGTAGTAGAGAGAAATGCGAGGACGAGAGCAATATGCTGTGGCTTTTGAGGAGCCTCAGAAGTCAAGTCAACAGCCACCAGGCACTTGCTGCTTGCCGTCTTTCACTTGGGCCTTGGCTATCCTCCACGCCTCCCTCTTTCCCTTCTCCTCTCTCTGCCGGTTCTCCACTTGCCCACCACCTCCCTCCTTTGTCCCCACCCTGCATTTCGCTTGTTGCGATTTCTCAAAACCAAATTCTCCTCCTCCCCTTTTGCACCTCTCTCCACGTCTCCTCCCTGTTTTCCTTGTTCTGCCCCTCTCTGTATCCTCCCAAATTGCCTTCGTACCCTCTGCAGCCACCTATCATCCCATCCCATCCAATCCCATCATAGCAACTCCATTCTATCACGTTTTAGCCCATCCCACTTCTCTTATTACCCCATCCTGACATATTGCCTCCACCCACCCACGCCACTATGTGCCCATTGTCTCGTTCCCACAGTTCTACAAGTGGCATTCGGACCTTGAAACAGCAATGAAGTCAGAGGTGAGAGGACAAGAGGCAGGAGAAATCGGAGAGGAGAGCGAGGAGAGGGAGAAGATGGAGGAACGGGACAAGAGGGAGGAAGGGGATGAGAGAGTGTGGGAGGACGGGTAAAGCTGGTCAGAGCTTGTCGATCCAGGTTAACTTTTCTACCTTATCCCCTTTTCTGGTACTTCATTATTTAAATCAGTCCTGATTATATCACGTTTTTTAAGGTCTTTTCTTTTCCTGTTCCCCTCTGCGGACCTGTTCACTGCCCATCTCCTCCCCTGTTTGTACCTTTTTACTCGCTTGAAACTGCCTTCTCTCTTTCCTCCTTTCCCCCCGCTTTCCCATTCCTCCCCCCCACCCACTGCCCCCGCCTCCCCCTCCTCCCGCTGACCCCCACTGCAGACAGAGGAGAAGTATCGGCAATATGTGTGTGTGCTGGAAACTCATCTGCAGACGTGCGACCACATTCTCATGCAGGTGACTGGGGCGTTGAGGGAGGCGGGGAGGGAGGGGGATGGGGATCAGGGGAGGGGAGAGGGCTTTTGAGTTGACATCAGTATGTGTGCGTGCTGGAAACGCATCTGCAGACGTGCGACCATATTCTCATGCAGGTTACTGGGGGGTTGGGCGGGTGGGGAGAGAGGAGAAGAGGTTAGATGGGGATATGGGTTAAGCTAGGCATGAATGGAGTACGGTTGGGTGGGAAAGGTTATTTTGCAGAAAACTTCGCATTGCTGAAAGAAAATATTGCCCGCGCCTCCTCTTTCCTCTTTCCCCTCGTTCCCCTGTCCCACCTCTCATCTTTCTACTTCAGCTGGAAAAAAATTCCTCTTTCCTCTTTGAAATTCCTCTTCTCCCCTGTCCCGCCCCCTCCCCTAGTTGCAGTTAAACAGCACGCTCTCACAGTTTGACGAGCTGCAGGCGCAGCATCGCGGCGTGGCACAAGCAAGACAAGAGCTCCCTGATGCCAAGCTCCTCTTAAAGCCAAGCCCCCTCTCCATCGCCCCCCTCGTCCCACTCCTGCGCCACCCATTCCCCGTCTCTTCAGCTGGACAGCACCCTGGCGCAGTTTGACGAGTTGCAGGCGCAGCACCGGGGAGTGGCGAGCAAGACTCGGTCCATGCCAAGCTGCTCTTCAACCCCACTCCCCACCTCTTTCCCTTACCCTTGCCCTCTCCCCCTCCCCATTGATCTCTCCCATCCCTGCAGCTGGACAGCACCCTGGCGCAGTTTGACGAGTTGCAGGCGCAGCACCGCGGCGTGGCAAGCAAGACGCGCACGCTGCACGACGCGTGCGAGCGGCTGGTGGCGGACAAGGAGCGCCTGGTGGAGTTCGCTGATGCCCTGCGCTCAAAGCTCAACTACTTTGAGGAGCTCGATAAGGTGGGGTTGGGAGGAGGACGATGAGGGTGTAGGGAGGGGAAGTGAGGGGAAGGAGGGAGGTTGTTGGCGGGGGGAGGGGAAGGGGAGGAATTGGGGGAGGAAGGGGAAGAAAAGGGGGGGAAGGATGTTGAAGGGTGGAGGGGGGAGGGAGGTGGGTGTGGGGGGGGGAGGGGAGGAGAATTATGGGAGAGATGTGAGGGAGGGGATGCACAACTTGCTTGCATTAGGGTCGTTCATTAAAAAATCATCTGAAGAAGTGCTTCCCACATGCCTGTCCTGACCGTGCATGAGGGCCCAAGGGTGGGAATGTTATGTGCTTTTGAATTCTGGTTGATTGCATACATGCTCACCAGGCCCCCACACGCCCCCGCTCCCTGCTTGTCGTTGTCTCTCCTTTGCTCTTACTCTCACCCTCCTTCTCAACTTCTCACACGGCCTCGCTCCTGCTCTTTGTTCTTCAGATTTTCGGATCGTTACCAATAATGCTCCCGCAAACCCATCCCGTCCTTTCCCATCCCATCCCATCCCATCCCATCCCATCCCATCCCATCATCCCATCCCATCCCATACCATACCATACCATACCATCCCATACCATCCCACCCCGTCCCACCCTGTCCCACCGCCTATGACCATCCCCACCACGTGGCATCAGATCACAGGTCGGTTCCACTCGGCGTCCATGAGTGTGAGCAGCTCGCACTTCCTGCCTCTGCTCAAACGCCTCGACGAATGCATCACGTGAGAGCCACACACCTCATCTCATCTCATGCGTCTGTCTGCATCACCGGAGCGAGTGCGACTCGCTGCAGCATGCACGTCTCGCATCACACAGTGCATGCGTCACATCAGACTCAGCATCCATGAGTGTCAGTCAGCAGCCCGCACGTCCTGCCTCTGCTCAAGCGACTCGACGAATGCATCACGTGATAGCCATGTACTTGTACACGTACACTGCCTACCTGCTGCCACCAAACATATCAAAGATATGTAAACGATTCCGCTGAATATCCCTCCCTGCCTCCGTGGGCCCCTGCCTCCGTGAAGCTATGTCGCCTCCATATTCTTCGGGTTGTCTTGATATTCCCCTTCACTTCTTTGCCCTCCCCTCCTTCCATCCACCCCTGCATCAATGCAGCTATGTTGCCTCCAACCTTCAATATGCAGACGCCAATATCTACCTCGTCAAGTTCAGACAGCTGCAGGTGATTTGATTAGATGTGATTTGATTTGATCTGATCCAATTCGATATGATATGACCTACACATGCAAATTCCTAGTCGATAAGTTCTGAGTTCACTCCAAAGGCACCAGCATGACACCATGCATGGGAGGAGCATGGGCGGGGTGTTTCTGAAATCTTTCAAAAGCTGGATGCATGGCACATGGGTGGGGTGTTGGTGTTGTGTTCCTAACAGTTGACTTTTGAGTTGACTCAAAAATCAACCCGTGTTGTGTGCATGTATCATGTATGGAGCCATAAAACACACTCTTGAGCACCCGTTGCTGCACCGTTGTGTTGTGCTCATGTTGTTACATTCTTCTCGTCCCCCCTTGTCCTTCCCTTCCCTCACCATTCTCTCCTCCATCCCCTCTCAATGCATTCCCCCTCTTCCATCCATCCCAACCCTCCCTCTGTCGCTCTCTCCCGCCAGTCGAGGGCACTTGGAATGGTTCGGTCCCACGTGCTCTCGGTGCTTAGAGCAGCTGCCAACCAGGTAGGTTCTTACTGATTAATTACCCCCTATTCTTATTGATTGATTATCCACTTTTCTCTGTAGCACTTCCGACCCTTCCCTTCCCTCTTCAATGCACCCCTCACTCTTCCCACTTACTCCCTCAGTTCCCTCTGTCTTCTGAGGCAATTTCTGAGTCAAACTCCTGTGCCTTTCTGTGACCCGCATATCACCCGGCATTTTTTCCTCTGTGTTTCGGCGCATCTCATAACTCCCTGTCCTCGTCTCTTTTCTCGCTCGCTCTTGGCCCCTGCAAGCCCCGACCCTCGCCGTTCTCCACTCCACTTCCACCCCCTCTCCCCCCGTTTCCCCCTCCTCTCCCTCCCTTCCCTTTTTCTCTTGCTCTTTTCCTCTTCCCCCATTCCCCCTTCCCCCCTTCCCCCCTTCCCCCTCCGCACCCCAATCCGCCTGTCAGGTGCTAGCGGCAATGAAAGAGAGCGGGGTGCCGTTGGGGGCGAGGGGTTCGGGAGGAGGCATATCGGAGGGCGCTGAGACGTCTCTCCTCTATGTTCGCTTCAAGGCTGCTGCTGGGGAGGTGAGGGGGAAAGGTGCGGGAGGGAGGGCGAATGTGGGAAAGGGGATTGCGGGGCGGGGGGATCGAGGGGCATGGCGGCGGGAAGATGAGTGATGGGGGTGGCAGATGGGGATTGGAAGAAGTGGGGAGTGAGATGAAGGGTTGGGATGGTTTCACTGGGGTTTCTTTGAGGAATTTCCTTTTTTTTTTACATACCAGAGGGAACTGGGAGTGAAGGGTGTTGCTCGTATCTCTCCTCTCGTTCCTCCTTTTGTGTGTTCTGCTGTATGTGCTGCTGTGTGCATGCTGGCAGTTAAAGCCACTAATGGAGGAGATGGAGGGGAGGGCGTCCAGGAGGGAGTATTCGCAGCTGCTCTCGGACTGCCACACCATCTACTGCGAGCAGCGCCTTGCTCTGGTAGGCCCTGTTGCTGCTACAGTCCCTTGCACTGGTAGGTACGTGACGTGAGCAGCAGTAGCGGTACGGTACTGGCTGTGTAAAGCTAAAAGGCCAAGTAGGGAGTATTCGCAGCTGCTCTCGGACTGCCACACCATCTCCTGCGAGCAGCGCCTTGCTCTGGTACGTGATGTTCAGTCATGATTCCTCGAGAGCAGCAGTAGCGGTACGATACTCGCTATGTAAAACTAAAAGGTCAACTAGTGTTGTTCCTCGCAGCCGCCGCAGCCTTCCGCACCCCACTTTGCACCCCTAAATCCCTGTTGTAAACCCTGGTGCAGTAGCGCATCACACCTCCCTCTGCGTATAATCAGCCCCTCACTTAAACCCCCCGCACCCCCACCTCGCCCCCATCCTCACCTCTCCCTCGCCCACTCCCCATCCTTCTCTCTTGTATTCCCCATGGCAGGTGCAACCAGTGGTTCAGCAGCGCATTACAGAGTTCGCCAGGAGGGAAACACTGCCCACTCTCACTCGCTCCGGATGCGCGTATCTCATGCAGGTGGGCACGTGATAAAAGTGTTACTTTGAGACGTCTCAAAATAACACTCTCACTCACTCCGGATGCGCGTACTCATGCAGGGATAAGGGGGTTCTTGAGGCGCCTCAAAAATCATCTCATGCAGGGATAAGGGGGTTCTCATGTGGGTGAAGGGTGATGGTTTGTGTGGTTGAGGGGGATGTATCGTTCGGGTGAGATGAGATGAGATGAGATGGACTTCTGCTCGTGTGGAGTGGGAATTTTGTGTGAGTGCAGAGGATACGTTGTGCTGGTGCCGGGGCCACGTGATTGAAGAAGTGTTTTGAGACGTCTCAAAACAATTTTGTGTGAGTGCAGAGGATACGTTGTGCTGGTGCTGGGGCCAAAGGGGATGTCATGTCACACGCGCACGAGAAGTAGAATGGTACAAGACTCTCTCCTCTCTCTCTCTTGCTCTCTCCATGTGCGCAGGTGTGCCAGTCAGAGCACCAGCTATTCGACCATTTCTTCCCAGCCACCTCTGCGGATACCTCCAACCTCGCCCCTCTCATCGACCCCCTGTAAGCTTCCAAGTTCATATTGGGAGTAGCAGCAAACCTATTTTCTTGAATTTCTAGGAACGAGTTTTACAAGTCTTGATTCCTCTGCGGATACCTCCACCCTCGCGCCTCTCATCGACCCCCTGTACGCTCACACACCGTCAGTCATCTTGTTGTTGTTGGTACATCTGGCGCCCCACACACACACTGGTTGATTACTTGTCGGCTGATTTCGATCCCACACACTCAGCTTGAGTCGGTTGCTAGCTGTGGACCACCCGCCCAGCCTTGTGTGGCCTTGTCGATTAAGAGCCTTGAAGTGAGTCTCACGTACAGCTTGCCATCTCATCTCTCCTCCTGCTGATGATAGCTCGATCTGATGATGATCGCCCATGCCGTTTCGCGCGTGCCAATGATTACTGGTGATGTTGCCTTGCCCTCTCATCCAGCCCTTCTGGTGATATCCACTGCCTCCCTTTCCCGTTTGTCCCCGTGATCGCCCAGTCCGATCTCAACCCGTTTGTGTTTGTGGTAACCAGTGCACATGGTGCTTCTTGTCAGGCAAATCCAGTTCAGCCCCTCTTTTTCCACAAAGTTGCCACACCCTCCCTCTTCCTCCCTCCTCCCGGCATACTTCTTCCCACTGTCGTGCTTCCCCGTTCCCCCTATCCCCTCCCCCTCCTCTCTTCAGCTGCACCGTCCTATACGACGCGCTGCCTCCGCGCTTCATCCACAGTGCGGACGTGGACGTGCTCTGTGAGCTCCCTCATCCCCCTCCTTTCCCCCTCCCCCCTGTCCCCCTCCCGTGATCCCCCCTCCCTATCCTTAGCTGCACGGTTCTATACGACGCGCTGCGCCCGCGGTTCATCCACAGTGCGGACGTGGACGTGCTCTGTGAGCTCCCTCATCCCCCTCCTTTCCCCCTCCCCCCTGTCCCCCTCCCGTGATCCCCCCTCCCTATCCTTAGCTGCACGGTTCTATACGACGCGCTGCGCCCGCGGTTCATCCACAGTGCGGACGTGGACGTGCTGTGTGAGCTCCCTGGTCCCCCTCCGTTCCCCCTCCCCCCTTTTCCCTTCCCTTCCCCCTTCCCCCTTCCCCCTTCCCCCTTCCCCCTTCCCCCTTCCCCCTTCCCCCTTCCCCCTTCCCCTCCAACCCCCCCCCTTTGGCAGCTGCACAGTGCTATACGATGCGCTGCGCCCGCGGTTCATCCACAGTGCGGACGTGGACGTGCTGTGTGAGCTCGTAGACATCGTGCACGCCGACCTGCTGCACCACCACCTGCCGCGCCGGGGCGAGTGGGTGGCAGCGCTGCGCCCCACCATTGCAAGGATTCTTGCGGATTTGAGGCAGCGGCTGATTTTCCGAGCTCACACGTTTATGAGGGATGAGGTGGGTGGGCTGGATTTCTAGGCAGAGAAGGAGGGGGTGTAGGGGAAGCAGCGTAGGGTGGGGTGGGGTGTAGGGAAAGCAGCGTAGCAAGCGCAAATGGATGTGCTGTGCTGACTTCTGAGGCGCCTCAAAAGTGGGCTGGATTTTCAGGGAGAGGAGGGGGAGGAGTAGCGGAAGCAGCGTAGCAAGTGCGGGTGGCTGTGCTGTGCTGTGCTGTGCTGTGCTGTGCTGTGCTGTGCGGTGCCGTGCCGTGCCGTGCCGTGCTGTGCTGTGCTGTGCTGTGTGAGCTCGTTCACATTGGGCATGCCGACCTGCTCATCGCCAATCGTTCTCAAACCCATCTGCACCCCTCTCCTCCCCCCTCGGCCCCCCAGATCTCCAACTACGTGCCCACCAGTGACGACCTGGACTACCCAGGCAAGCTGCAGCGAACAGTGAGGACCAGCTGTTGTTCATTTCAACCGTTCTCAAACTATCTGTCTGTACCTCTTTCCTCCCCTTCCGTCCCCCCCCCCAGATCTCCAACTACGTGCCCACCAGTGACGACCTGGACTACCCAGGCAAGCTGCAACGAGCCGCCGCTAAGTCTGCGGCTGCCGCCGCTGCCGCTGCACAGGTGTGGGTTGTGGCATGGGGGTGTGGGGTGTGGGGTAAGTGGGGTGTGGGGTAAGTGGGGTGTGGGGTGTGGGGTAAGTGGGGTGTGGGGTATGTGTGGTGTCTGATGTGTGTCCCGCTCCCCATTCTCCCTCCCCATTCATGCCCCTCCGCTCCTTTCTTGTAATACGTATTCCTCTCCTTGCTTTCTGTTCACCCCCTGCCCACGTTTTTTCCTCTCCCTCTCCCTCCACCCAGCAATCACAATCACTGTCTTTCTTTCCCCTCCCTTCCCTTCCTGAGAGGAACTCCTTTGCCTCAGCTGTACTCGCGGAACAACTTTTGAGGCGCCTCAAAACTCCTTCATCTCACTTGTACTCCCAGACCAAATCCAACTCCAAGCTGTATTGATTCCCTGTGGGCCAGTTTGGAGTTTTCTTACGAAAATCTTTTTCTTTTAACGTCCCTGCCAGGAGGGTGACCCGCAGGCAGCAGGAGCGGAGGAGCAGGGAGGGGACTCGTACGCAGGGTGGTACCCCCCTCTCGAGAGCACACTCGCATGTCTCTCCAAGCTCTACCGCTGCGTGGACGCTGATATCTTCACAGGGCTCGCGCAGGTGAGGGGGAGGTGAGGGTGCAGTGAGAGGGTGAGGGTGAGAGTAAGGGTATGAATGAGGTGTGGCAATTGCGGATCCCCCCTCTCGAGAGCACACTTGCATGTCTCTCCAAGCTCTACCGCTGCGTGGATGCTGATATCTTCACAGGGCTCGCTCAGGTGAGGGGGTGGTGAGAGGAGGAGTTTGTTTTTTTACAGTTAAGAGGAATATCCCTGTGCACGTGGTGAGGTTTCAGGTGACGGTTCTGGTAGGCGTGTCAGTTCTGGTACAGGCGAATGGTTACTCGGTTTTGGCGCATGCATTCCAGTCATGCGCTTGCCTTTTTTATGCAAATGGATCACTGTGCTTGTCTTGTTTCTGTGTGCGTTATCACTGCAATAAGATGCCATCTTACATGTACGCTTGCACTGCTCTTGTGTGTTTTCTTCTGTGGTGACATGACAGGAAGCAGTGGCCGTGTGTTCTGACTCGATTCAGGTAACATGGGAGTTGAGAAGTTGGGTTACCACCACCAAGTGGAGTTGCAAATTCATCATCTTATCACCAACTATCATCACACATCATGCACCTAGTCATTTAGACAACGTTGTTGAATCCTTCTAATTCCCATCCCAGCTGCCTTCACACGAGCAGCTGTCATAGCACACTTACTCTCCATTCTTCTACCCTTTCCTTTTATTATATGTTGTGATTTTACTAAAAAACCCTTGTCTCCCCCTCTCCGCATCTCTCCCTCTCTTCCCTCCCTCTCTTCCCTCCCTCTCTTCCCTTCCTCGCCCTCTGTGCTGCTCTACCACTAGCGTGCCAGCAAGGTGGTAGCACGCAAGGCGAGTCCCATGGATGGGCAGCTGTTCCTTATCAAGCATCTGCTCATTCTCCGAGAGCAGGTGCGTGGGGGGTGGGGAAGACAATATGGTGGTGCAAGCATACACACACGCACATGCATGCAAGGCGAGTCCCATGGATGGGCAGCTGTTCCTCATTAAGCATCTGCTCATTCTCCGAGAGCAAGTGAGTGAGGGATTAGAGAGAAGGTATAGTGCTGGAATCACAAGCACGTGCAAGCATTCGCACATGTGTATCAGGAAAGCCCCATGGATGGGCAGTTGTTCCTCATTAAGCATCTGCTCACTCTCAGAGAGCTGGTGAGCCCTTGCAGATCGCCCCTTTCGATGTGGAGTTTGCAGTCATTATAACGAACTGGACTTTTTTCTTTGAAGCCGCGTCAAAAGCCGTCTTCTGTTTGTGTGTCTGTGCTGTGCTGTGCCCCTGCAGATCGCCCCCTTCGATGTGGAGTTCGCGGTCACTATAAAAGAACTAGACTTTGCACACACACTGGTACGCTCCACATGTTACCACATCACCTTCAGTTCCTTACCACTCCTTTTTTGTGTCTAGCACCCTCCTTTTCCATCTCGCTCTTCACCTCCCTTTGTCTTCCTTCCCTTTTCTCTTCTACCTCTTCCCGTCCTACACCCTTTTCTCTGTTGCGTCTTCTCTCTTCTATCTCGTTCATCCCCCTCCCCACCACCCTCCTCCTCCACCTCCCATTCCCTCTCCTCTCAGTCCCCCTTTGCCTATGCCTCCACCCCCCTCTCCCTGTCCCTCCCTCGCTCTCCCTGTCCCTCTGCATCCTACAAATACCTGTTTAGGGCGTGTAAAATTGTAACTCCCAAACCAATTTTCCGCCCTTTGCATGTTTCCGGCGTTAGCGAAGAGGTGTAACGCGTAAGCGATCCCCGCCACAAGTTTTGCAAGCACCTGGGGCACCCTCCACAAACCACCCCCATAATTGAAAGCAAAATTTTGTATTCTTTTTACTGGATTCGAACGGGGTGTGGAATACAGGGGGGTCGGAAGCCTAAACTATGGTGTTAACAAAGCATTGAGTTTAGGCAAACACAAAGATTTTTCCCTCGTTGAGGATAAGTCTACGTAGATCCCAAAATGCAGTGCGTCCAACTTCTATTCCGGAAAATATCATTGCAATTCAGTCAAACCGGGTTGACTACTCTGTGGGCGTAACCCTAAATACCTCGCAATCACCAAAACCGCCCGAATGGTCGACCATTTCATTTGGTCGTTACAATTTTACACGCCCTTAATCCCCAAGCTGTCGTCAACCTTAGTTCGCTATTACAAGTGGAACTCGTATTTGCCTAAGAACACCCACGTCTGCTCTCTTTCCTTGGCACCCTTGCTCCTCCTCCTCGTCCCCCTCTTCTCCTCCCTCCGTTATCCTCCCTCCGTCACCTTCCGGGTTCCTCTCCCCCCTCGTTTCAACCCTCTTCTCATGCTGCCCCCTTCATTATCCCCTTCTCCCCCCTTCTCCCCTTCCTCATCCCCCCTTCCCCTTTCCCTTCCCGCCGCTACACCCTCCTCTCTTCCCCTTCTCCAGGATCACTTGCGGCGAATGCTGCAAGGCCAGGCATCACTCCTTGCCCCCTCTCGAATGAAACCCCTCAAGCGTCCTCTAACCCCTTCTCTTCCCCCTTTCCCCCCCTTCTCTTCCCCCTTTCCCCCCCTTCTCTTCCCCCTTTCCCCCCCTTCTCTTCCCCCTTTCCCCCCCTTCTCTTCCTCCTTTCCCCCCCTTCTCTTCCCCCTTTCCCCCCCTTCTCTTCCCCCTTTCCCCCCCTTCTCTTCCCCCTTTCCCCCCCTTCTCTTCCTCCTTTCCCCCCCTTCTCTTCCCCCTTTCCCCCCCTTCTCTTCCCCCTTTCCCCCCCTTCTCTTCCCCCTTTCCCCCCCTTCTCTTCCCCCTTTCCCCCCCTTCTCTTCCCCTCATAACCCGTCCCTTTTCCTCGTCACCCTTCCCTCTCCGCTCCCCCCCCCTCTCCACGCTTCCTCCCCCTCTCTCCCCCCTGCGCCAGGATCACTTGCGGCGAGTGCTGAGAGGCCAGGCGTCGTTCCTCAGCCTCACCTCAGGAGAATCCTTCCTGCGCTTCTCACCCCGGGTCACCGAGAGCCACATTGACGCCAAGAAGGTGCTATGTTCTCCCTTCCCTTATGCCCTCCCCTCGTTCCCCCCCCCCCCCCCTCTTTCTCTCCCCTCTTTCCCTCCCCCCTTCCCCCCCCTCTTTCCCTACCCCCTTTCCCTCCACTTGCCTCCCCTCTTTCCGCACCCTCTCTTCACATCACATCACATCACATGATCCCCAGCATTGCTGCTATCACCATTGCCACCCACCTTCTTATCAGCTCAATGAACCACTCACCTAGGAGATTCTAACCCCTCCCCTCCGCTCCCCTCCCCTCCCCTTCCGCTCCGGTCCCCTCCTATCGCCTCCCCTCCCCCCCTCCCCTCGCCTCTCCTCTCTCTTCCCCTCCCCTCTGTGTGTCACCCCTCACACTGGCCGCACACCCCACCAGGAGTTGGAGAAGCTACTCAAGTCCACATGCGAGCAGCTCATCATGTCCGTCACCAAGCTCACCGTCGAGCCCATCCTCTCCTTCATCACCAAGGTGCCACCTGCTCATCATGCCTTCTTGCTTCCTGCCCTCCCTTCCTCTCTACCTCGCTACCTCAGTTCCTCTCCTCCCTCCCTACCTACCTACCTACCTACCTACCTCCCTCCCTCCCTCCCTCCCTCGCTCACCGTCGAGCCCATCCTCTCCTTCATCACCAAGGTGCCTACCTTCCTCCCGTCCTTCCCTCCCTCCGTTTGCAACCAATGGTTTTCCTTTTGTAACTTTGGTAGACACTTTGTAACTCGTCCTCTCCTCATCACCACCAAGGTGCTTCTTCCCTCACCAAGTAAACCACTCACGCAAAGCTTCAAAACCATGGTGCTCCTCCTCTGTTCCCTTTCCCTGGGCCGTCAGGTGACAGCAGTCCGTGTGGCAGGGTCAGCTCTCGCCCTCAAGGCCAGAGGAGGGGATGCAGCAGCAGCAGGAGGGGAGGTTGGGGAGGGGTAGCCGAGAGGCACTCAGTCTATCATTGAGGCGCCTCAACAAATAATCACCTCCCTGCTCCGTTTCCCGGTGCCATCAGGTGACAGCAGTCCGTGTGGCAGGGTCAGCTCTCACTCTCAAGGCCAGAGGAGGGGATGCAGCAGCAGGAGGAGGGGAGGGGCATGGGAGGGGGAGAGGCAGGGGAGGGAGCGAGGGGCAAGCAGTCTGTATTCAAGACGCCCTCATACATTAACCTCCCTCTGTTCCCTTTCCCCACGCCATCAGGTCACAGCGGTCCGTGTGGCAGGGTCAGCTCTCGCTCTCAAGGCCAGAGGAGGGGATGCAGCAGCAGCAGGGGGGGAGGGGCATGCAGGGCAACGACTGCTGAGAGAGCAAGCGTTTGCTTCCCCAGAGAAGCTGGCTCAAGTGGTGAAACAGGTGAGAGGCGACGATGACTGCAGAAGAGTCACTGTAAGTGGTTGTTTGCCTCGCCAGAGAAGCTGGCTCAAGTGGTGAAACAGGTGAGCTGACTTGACTGTCTGATTTTTTTCATCTCAAGAGGATGTTAACCTTTGCCTGAGACGGTGGCTCAGGTGAGATGAGAAGGCTGTGGGAGGAACAAGTGTGAAAAGGATGTCAACCTTATCTCAAGTGTGAAACAGTCGCTGTACCTGCGGTGCGGTATGCTGTTCACGCCTCACAACGCTACTCTCTCTGCCTCGCTTGCCCTGTTCACCCTTCACCACCTCTCCCATTCCTCCCCCATCTCAGGTGGATGAGATTCTCAAGGTATCGCTGCCAGAGGTTGTGGGATAGGAGGAAACTGGACTTACCATTACTCTCTCTCCCTTCCTCCCTTTCACAGTGCTGTTCACTCCCCACAGTGTCGCTCGTTCCTCACAATGTTGCTTTCTGTTTCTCCTTTGCCCTTCTCTCCCCAGTCCATTGCCCCTCTCTTCTCAGGTGGACGAGGCTCTCAAGGTGTCGCTGCCAGACGTGGTGGCCAACATGGCGCTCTACCTGCCTCTCCCTCACACCGCTGCTGTTCGCTCTTCACAACTCTCTCCCTTCCATGAACCACCTCCCCTCCCACCCCCCGCCCTTCAGGTGGACGAGGCTCTCAAGGTGTCGCTGCCAGACGTGGTGGCCAACATGGCGCTCTACCTGCCTCTCCCTCACACCGCTGCTGTTCGCTCTTCACAACTCTCTCCCTTCCATGAACCACCTCCCCTCCCACCCCCCGCCCTTCAGGTGGACGAGGCTCTCAAGGTGTCGCTGCCAGATGTGGTGGCCAACATGGCGCTCTACCTGCCACACGCTGCCACTCGCGCCATTCTCTTCCGACCCATCAAGTACCGCCCCCACCTCTCCTCTTCGCTCTTGGTCTTTCCTTGCTCTTTCACCATTTTTTAGGCTCCTCAAAACTCGCGCCATCCTCTTCCGACCCATCAAGTACCGCCCCCATCTCTCCTCTTCGCTATTGGTCTCCCTCGCTCTCTCTCTTTCTCTCTCTTCTCGGTCTCTCTCTTTCACCCAGATACCCTCTTGCTCTCTTTCACCCAGATACCCTCCTGGAGCAAAGGAACAAAGGAGGATATGGCCGTTTGTGGGACTCATAAGGCATCTTACAAACCCCTTTTTCTATCCTTACTTCCTCACATCCGCCCTGCCCTTCCTCCTCATCTCTGCAGGTCCAACATCTTAGAAGCGCATGCACAGCTGCAGTCACTGGTCGATTCAGAGTACACAGAGGAGAACAGGGCTGTGGTGGGGCTCATCGGGTGTCTTACAAAACCTGTTTCTATCCCTGCCCTGTCCTCTCGTGCCTTTGTGCATCTGTGCAGGTCCAACATCCTGGAGGCGCATGCGCAGCTGCAGTCACTGGTGGACTCAGAGTACACAGAGGAGGACAGGGCCGTCGTGGGACTCCTCTCCTCTGCTGATCTCGTCACCTTCCTAGATGGCCTCACCTGAACACTTGGAAAGGAGAATGTGCTGTGCACCGATTGTGGGTTAAAGCGGTAGAATGTTTGCTCGCTATGATTTGCACTGAGGTTGCTGCTGTGCTGACCGAGTGGTTCCATTCTGAACAATTGGGAAGTGTATGGTACGTTGTTCATACTGGGAAGGTTCCTACTTCAGCACTCTGCATCAGCAGATATACCGTCATCACCCGGATAGAAGATAGTGTTTAATTGAAGACGGGTGTCTTTAATACGAGTGTTTTCTTATAAACGGAAGTTCCTTTTATAGGAGACCATATTACCGATATGAGATAAGAAATATATGTCTTATACTCCAAACATATTAACTTTTTTGTTGAATCATATCATAGCGTGTACGTTTCTGCCTGAGCGCGTGCGAATCTATGCACACGATGACTCAGATATTTGTGTATCTGGGTCACATGCTGCATCAGCAGGTTTTCCTTGTGACGCAGCGTATCAAAAAATGTCTGAGACGTCCCAACATTGGTTTCTGTGTGGAATGCTCGTTCGTGGGAGTTTATACAGTAGTATGAGATAAATTGTTTATCTTAAACCGTTCCCGTTTATAAGATTTACAGGACACCCATTACCTTCCCTTTATAAGATAAACAGCTAGTTTTTGAACCGATATCGGATAAGACCCATATGTCTTATATCCGGGCGATGACAGTAAGGTTGTTGGGGAGGGTTGCTTCTTAGGACTCGGTTCAACAGGGCCTTGGTCGAAGCAGGGCTCTTGATAAAACTCATCCGGCCAGAGAATTTGTCGTGATGAAGGCTCAGTACAGGTGTGCATACGCATGGGACGTTACCATTACAACAACAGATACAGACATGCCGTGCCGACTGTTGGTAGCTAGCGAAACATTGCTCCACATGAGGCTGTGTTGCAATTGCAAGTCGCCTCGTGTAAGGAAAAAAGTGTTGTCATACACCAGCTTTTCTCCCCAACTACCGGTACCGTAATGTAACTTAGACGAGGTATGGTTGCCATGGCATGGCAGACTGCATTGTGCTGGTTCTCTTCTGCACTGGATCTAACGACGTTTGGTGGTTACCTTGCAATAAGGTCCAAGGTCTACGGTACAAGCATCGGTGTGTTGAAATAGCACATATATATTGAAAAGCAGCCCACCAACAAGGAGTCCTATACAAGGAGCGAATAATCAGCCCACCAGCAACAGAATTATGGACCTAAGGAATGATCACTAAAACCAAAGGGGGGCGTGGGGGAGAGAAAGGGGAAGAGGGAAAGGGTGGGGGATGGAGGGACGAGGAGCAGGAGGGTGGGAAAGCAGAAATGGAAAGAGGAGAGTAGCAAGAGGTTGACTGAACGGGGTTCTATCTATCGACGGCCGGCCTGGCATCATCTGATCCGGGGATCGCCTCCAAACAGCGGCAATAGTACGGTATCGTACACTCTAGTAGACCTGTGCAGATATGCAGCAGCAACGACGCACAGCGAGAGCAAGGCGGGGGGCGCATGTGTTGCCTTGCTCAGCGTGTGCTCGGCTGTGCTTTGCCTTGGCTTGTTTGAAGGGCGATCCGCTCGGCACATGATGGCAGGCCCCCGTGAGTGGGGGAGTGTGAGGGCGTGAGTGAGTGTGGTGACTTTGCGAGTGAGTGAGCAAGTGGTGGGATGAGTGAGTGAGTGAGGGCACGAATGAATGTGGAAGGTGAAGCGAATGTGCAGACTGATTGGGATGGAGAAATGGGTGGGCTGGGAAGGAAACGAGTCTGTCTCCAGCCACACTTCCAAATGACCGAGTAGATGAATGATGAGTGCTTGGATGAGTTGAGCGAGTGGGCGAACGAGTGAGTGAGTGAGTGAGTGAGTGACTGCACAGTGGTACCAAACCTCTTGAGACATAGTTGATCGTGTTATGTTAAACTCCCTCTTTGCATAAGATGACTCTCAGGTGCGGTTGACTCAGGTGCGGTTGACTCAGGTGCGGTTGACTCAGGTGCGGTTGACTCAGGTGCGGTTGACTCAGATGCAGTTGACTCGCTTGCAGTTGTCTCGTTTGCAGTTGACTCCAATCCAATTGATCGGCAGGCATATCTCGACAGTGGTCTTGGCCTGAACATGTCCCCAATGCCCATGCACGTCTCAGATGTTCCACATCACATCCGCCTCCTGCTGCCACGTGTCCCCCATGCCCATGTCCTCCCCTATCAGCTCCATAACCAACGGACTACCCTGCTCCACCCCTGCGTACCGCACTTCACCCATCCCCATGCTCATGCCCGTGCCCGTGCCCATCGCTGCTCCAGCGCCCATCCCCATGCCCATGCCCATGCTTGTCCCTATCCCCACGCCCATGCCTATGGTAGGCCCAATGCTGAAGTTCCGCATGAAAGGGCTGAAGCTCCGCCTGGGAGACATGCCTGATATGCCTGCTGATCCTGTTGACCCTGCTGCGCCTGCTGCACCACTGCTGATTCGGGGGCTCTGAGAAGCCTCCCTCAGGGTGCGATTGTTCATGCCCACAGTGGCAGCAGTGGCAGAAGGGGCAGCAGTCGCAGCAGGGGCAGCACTGGCAGCAGCGGTAGTAGTAGTGGCGGCAACAGCGGCGGTCAGTGGGATACTAGCACCCGCCAGGGTTGCCGTGCCTCCCTTTGCTGCTGCTGTCACTGGTGCAACTGCAGGTGGTGTTGCTGCTTCTGCAGAGCCAGCAGCACCAGAACCAGCAGCAGCAGCAGCGGCAGCGGCAGCAGCAGCAGCACCACCACCATGGTACATACCGCCATGCGACGACAGATCAACTTTCACATCTCGAATCAGCTCCGCTACTCCACCCTTAACCTCCACATCCACTTCCCTCCCCTCTTCTCCCTCCCCCTCCCCTCCTCCACCCTCCTCTTCCTCCCCCTCCTCCACACCCTTTGCAGGCATATCCAACCCTTCCATCTTCACTTCTCCTCCCCCTCCTGCTGCTACAATCCCCGCCACACCACTGCCACACGTTTCCAAGTGAAGCTCTGGGAACAAGTGAGTCAGCTCTTCCTCCTTACAATCAACCCCTCCTCCCTGCATCAATCTCCCTGGGTACTCAGCAACTGGGTTTAACTTAGTGCCGTTTCCGGCATTAGCTGGTGGGATTTGAGTCCACTCCAGAGCAGTATCAGCTGTGCCAGCAGCAGCAGCAGCACCAACAACAATAGCAGACGGAGGAGGAGCACTTGCACTGGCACCAGCAGCACCAGCAGCACAAGCGGCAGCAGCAGCAGCAGCACCGGCACCAGCACTTGCACTGGCACTGCTCTGGCTCTCGCTCCTGCTGCCACTGCACCGCCCGCTGCCGTTGCTGCTCATCGTACGTCCACTCGTGGTGTCACTGCTTGCACTCCCGCTCCGCACTCTCCGATACGCTCCCCCCATGACGTTACTGTTGCCGTTACTATTGCCATTGCTGCTGCCGTTGATGTTACCGTTGCTGATGCCGTTGGTGGTCAAACTGGTGGGGTCGATGTGCATGGTCATGTTGCTGGTATACGCTGTCCCTTGCTGCTCCTCATGTGCCTCCTGCAACTGCTGTCGAGGCACTGGGACTTCCTGGTTCTCTTGCTTGCAAAACTGCTGTTGGTGTTGCTGCTGCAGGTGCTGCTGTGCATAGTATGCTGCCGCGTCGCCATCTGTAGCAGCTACAGCAGCGGTGGAGAGCGGTTCCATTGCATCAGGCAGCTGAGCGGCAGCAACAGCAGGCAGGATAGGAGCACCACCACCAGCACCGCCAGCAGCAGCACCGCCAGCGGCAGCACCAGCAGCACTGGCGTTGTTCCACTCAGCCAGTTGACCCCCGGGCAGGGGAGCAGCAGCAACACCCAGCAGAGGAGCCGCGGCATCGATTAGTACATCTCCACCGATGATAACGGTTCCTGCAGCAGCAGCAGCACCATCACCAGCATTAGCCGCAGCAGTAGCACAGGCAACAACAGCAGCAGCATCAAAGCCAGTGGAATCGATAGCAGCAGCAGCATCGAAGACAGCTGGAGGAACCAGCATTGAAACCTCACCCACGGCCTCTCCCGCTCCCCCTGCCTGTGCCTGTGCCTCTGCCCCTGTCACTAACTGTGACTCCTCCGCCTTAACTGCACCCACCGTTGCTGGCGCTGCTGCTATCTCCACTGCTGCGGTGCTAGCCTCCATTGGCGCGTTTGGTGCTGTTCCCCCTCCCCCACCACCTGTACTCGCCATTCCGCCAGCCATTCCGCCAGCCATTCCGCCAACCATTCCGCCAGCGGCGGGGACTGCGCCAGCCCCGACTCCGCCTCCCCCCTCGCCCGTCACCCCCCCTCCTCCCGCCGCCAGCGCCGCCGCCGTCGCCGCTGCGCTCGGCCGAATCGCGAGCCCCGCCGCCTCCGCAGCCTCCCAGACGATCTCGTCGGGTTTTAATCCCAGCACGCGCGCCGCTTCCTTACTCGCGCGGAGCAGCGCTTCCGCCGTCGCGGACGGCAGCGGAACCGTCGCGTAGCTGTTCGGGAAGTTGAGGCTCGCGCGCCGTCCGCGGAGCAGGCGCGCGGCGGTGTCGTACGCGCGCGCCGCGTCTTCCGCCGTGTCGTATGACCCCAGCCAGATGCGCGAGCGTTTGCGCGGCTCGCGGATCTCCGACACCCACTTCCCCCAGCGCCGCTGCCGTACGCCCTTGTATTGCGGCGTTCGCTGAGTGAAGGCGCAAGATCCGGGCGCGCCGGGCGCGGAAGATGCCATGCCCGCGGAGAACGGCGGGCGCGGTGCGGAGGACATTGGGGACACGGGGAACGGGCCGCGCGGAGAGATGGGGAGGGGGATCGAGACGCAGTGGGGCGGCGGAGATCGCTGCGGGAAGCTGGGCGCGAAGCCCGCGGGAAGGTACTGCGCTGCGCCTGCCGCAGGCATCGGCGCGGAAAGAGGCGCGGAGACCGGCGAGAAGCCATGAATGATGGGGGACGGTCTGCGACGCGGGCGACGCGGGCGACGCGGGCGACGCGGGCGACATGGGCGACATTGGCGACGACGGGAGCGCGCATGATGTGGCGAACGCGCCGACGGGAGACGTGGGGCTCTGCAGCGGCGGCAGATGCGACGACGGCGTGTGCGGGAGCGTAGCCATGTAATCGCTCGGCGCGCCGAAGACTCCCCCCGCCACAATCCCACCCTCGTTCTTAGTATAGCCATCGTTATAATAAAAGTCCCCGCCGCCAGCGCCAGCGCCGGCGCCGGCAGGAAGCAGCCCTTCCGCCGTGGTAATCACGGTGGGAGCGGGGCGAATCAGGCCCGCGCCGCCCGCACCACCACGCGCGTAACCAGCTGCACCCGCACCACCGGCACCACCGGCACCACCGGCACCAGCAGCAGCGGCAGCGGCGGCAGCGGATGATCCTCCGGCGTGGTTTGCGGCAGCTCCTAGCCTGATTCTCTTAGTCGGCGGAGGCATTCCCGATGCCGCGCTGCTGTTGCTGCCGCCGCCGACACCGCCGCCGCCGCCGCCGCCGCTGGTTGTGGCCACGAGCGCTGCTAGTGGCAGGTGCAGCGCCGCGACCGTGCCGCTATCGGCGCCGGCAGTAGCGGCGTCGAATGCGCTTGCAGCGAAGCTTCTCTTCTGCTGCAGCAGCTGCTGCTGCTGCTGCGACGTCTGCTGCTGCTGCCTCGGCGGTCTGACGTTCGTCCCCTCATACATGCCGTTCAGCGCCGCCGAGCCCGGCGGGACCGGAGCCGGCACAGCCGCCGATGCGCGCGGCGGAGGCGGCGACGCGCGGCTGCTGCTGCTGCTGCTCGGCGGGGTAGGCGCCACGGGGGTTGCGACACTCGTATCAGCGGCCACCATAGTAGTAGTAGAGTCTAGACCGAGGTCCCGCCGGAGGCTCATAAATAAAGCCGCTTGTTCGTCCTCCCCTGGCGCCGCCGTCGCGGGCGCCGGCGCCGCAGGTTGAGGCGGCGGCTGCTCGCGCTGCAGCAGATTGTTCAGCGGCGGACCTTGCGCCGCGAATCGCGCCGCGGAAACCGCATGCTGCCCTGGGAGGGGATGATTATCCATTGCAGGAAGCATCCCTTGACTCGCCGCCGCCAATTGCGCTGGCGCCCGCGGCGGCGGCGGCAACGGAGCAAGTTGCTCCGATGACGGCTGCTGCTGCTGCTGCTGCTGCTTCTTGGCGAGTATGGAAGAGGCGAGGAGAGGTAAGAGGTTGCTGAGAGCACTCGCAGCTCGCTCCCTCGCAGTAGCAGTCGCAGCAGCAGCGGCGGTGCTAGCTGCGGTAGCAGCAGCGGAATTCCACGACGATCCTCGCTGCTGCTCCTGATAAGCCTCCAGCTGCTGCTGCTCCTGATACGCCTCCAGCTGCTGTTGCTCGTACCGCTGCTGCGCGGCCTGCTGCTGCGCCGCCAGATGCTGCTGCGCCTGCTGCTCCACTTGCTGCTGCGCGTGCTGCGCCTGCTGCTCGCTCCGCTGCTGCTGCTGCTGCCGCAGCAGCGTCGCCTGCTGATGCTCGAAGTAGTTCCCGCCCGCAGCAGTACCCGTCCCTCCCGCCACCGCTGCGAACATCCGCGCGTCAACGCCTGCCGTTGCGCCAGCCTCCGCTTCCGCAGCCGCTGGCGCGGGTCCACCCACGCCACCCATAGCACCATCGCTGGCGCCGCCGCCGCCGTCGCCTACGTTGGGCAGAAAATCAGAGACGAATTGTTGATGCTGCAGCTGCTGCTGGTGCTCGAACGAGCGGTTCGGGTAAGTCGCTGCTTCGCCTGCTTCGGCTGGCGTCATAAGTGAGTCAGAATTGACGAATCCCGGCGTCGCGCCGTCAATGACGGGGGCGACGGTTTGGTGGTTCGCGCCGCCCCCGGTGTACGGCTGCTGCTCCGTAGGATGCGGCGGCGTAGGAGGCAGCAGTTCCCCAGCGGGAAAAAACGTGTTATTATTACAATTATTATTATTGTCGTTAATATTGTTATGATTGTAATCAACAGCCGACAACACCGCAGAGCCGCTGGCGTCAGCTTGCTGCAGTTCTTGGCCCGCCGCCGCCAGTCCTGCCGCTAGAACCCCCTGACCGCCGGCGTGATTATCAGCAAAATGAGTCACCACATGATGAGGCTGATTCGGATTGCAGGCGGACCAGGGTTCTCCAGCCGGATCGCCTTGAGACGAGCTGATGATTCGCTGCTCTACCGCCATAGTCGCGTCCATCCGAGATGTCGCCACGAGCTGCGGCGAGTTGCGGCTCGTCGCCGCAAATGCTCCGCTTCTCCGCTTCGTTTCACAGCGAATTGAAGAACTGGGTGCGGATTCCGCGGAGTGCGCCTTTACTTTTCATGTACCAGTGTCACACGGGGAAACACAGGGATTGTAACGCATGCTTGACGGAGGGATGATCGCCTTCCGTCGCCGCGAATAACGGCGTAGAACTTTTGAGTAATTAACCGACACCACGGCTACGACTGCTACCACTAATAAATGAGCTACTATGCTCAATTTAGGACTCCGATGAGCGGTCATGGAACGAGGAAACGGATTCTGAACGAAGCCTGTGAGCTTGTCTTTATGCGATGTAAATGAGAAGTTCCATTCCGAGTTGTCGGCGGCGAGAGCTGCGGAATTGATACGCGAAGCGGGCAGAGCAGGCGAGGGAGGGAGGAGGGGGCAGGACGAGGTTTGTCGAGGCAGCGCAGCTCATATGGCCTCTCGGTCCAAGATCCGATCCTCGCAATCATCGGATGGGGACAGCGCTTTCCTTCTCCCTCACTCTCCGTTTCCGCTTTCCCGCCTCTCACACACTCTCTCGCGCTCCCGTCTCATCTGTGTCGTTCTGCGGGTGTGTGTGTGACTCCCGGCTGGGTCCTTGCCTTGCCACGCACCGGGAGCGCGAGGAACTGTTGCAGCACGCCAACACTACAGTACCTAGGAGGGTTCCTAGTTGTGTGACTTGACCCTCGAGCCACCTTCACCATTCCCCCACCTTCCCCGCGCCGCTACCGTAGCGGCATACCCTCTGCGCCCATGCGTCCATGCGCGCATGCGCCCAAGATCCGCCCGCTGAGCGGAGTTCCTCCCCACTCCGTGCGCCCAGACCAGATCCTGCCGTGTCGCGTGGGACCATCGAGGGCGGACCGGAAGCGTTGTGCGGCGGGGAAAGGGGTGGGCTTCATTCATTCGTTTGTTCGCAAATCCAGCGCAGCAAATACAGAAACGACTGTCTTGCAATGAGGAGATGCGGCGCGGGTGACAGGAGAGGCCCAAGAAACAGAAAACGAGAAACGGAACCTACGCTACTTTCTGCTCCTTCCGCCATGCGCCGAGTTTGTTTGCGGGCAGTGATGGGGAGGGGAGGGCAAAGCGGGGCTGCTGCTGGCAGGGCAGCCCATGTGCGTGAGGCAGGGGATGGGCGGTGGGGCATTGTAGCCCTTGCAATGTGCGAAGAGCCGCGCAAAGGCCAGCAGAGCTACTCCGCGCCGTGAGGAAAGCGGGCACTGTAGGCGGGAGCACGGCAGGGGGGATGGAGGAGAAGGTGTGTGCGGGGTGGGGGAGGATGGCGTGGGAGGGGGATTGCGCGCGTGACTGTGCGCGTACGCGGGAACTGTTTGGCGCGTAGAGTGCAGTTTGCAGTCACTCGCGGAGCCAATCAATAAGATTCTAAACTGAGTGGGGCAAGGAACTTCTATAAATTTACTCTAGTAACCAAAAAATGTTGTGGTCATTCTGGTTCCCCAGAATCCAACAAATAACATACATGCCAGGTACCAAAAGTACCTGAACCGCATTACCATGCTGATGGACCCACATGACTTTTCTCACACTGGTACAACCTGGCGATAAACTGTCATCATATTCCTTTTTCAGGATAGTCTGGGATCATAGGACAGCCAAAGCGTAATTGTCGGCGCCAGATGTGGCTGCCTGATCGATGAGAGAAAACCCGAATGAATAAGTCGAAGGGTGCTTCTGACGATAATGGAGCCAAAATAAGGCTTGTGGGCATCGCAGCACACTCAAACCGTGACAGACACACAAGCAACCAATGCTTGTAAGCACCGCCAAAATTACAGCCACTCGACAAGATTCCACCACCGACACTTTTACCACCAGCACCACTTATTATTAATACGGTTGCTTGTACTGATGTAAATTACTCAATTACTCTTTGCATAACCGCAATACGTAGGGCTATCCACTTCTTGGACCTCGATGTTCAATAAATAGCTTACACACTAGGGAGACGGTTGCAGACTGGGGTGATCTCCATTGCGAATTTTCCAGCACCAAGTAAAAGAGTCTCCTTCCCACTCCCTCCCCTTTCCCACCCGACCCTTATAGCCGAGAGTTCATATTCTGTACACCCGAAAATCATCTTCCCAGCACCCAGAACCTTCATTCCTAACTCCAACATTTGCCTGTTCTGAAAAACGGAACGGCCTTCATTGAACGTAACGGAGCGCCTTTTGGGATCTGGTTCTTCGAGAACCTTGGGCCGTGAAGCCCCTCATCAGCATGTCTAGCGCCAACGACTCTACGTCAACGTAGGGGTCAACCCAAACTGCTGACCGTGTCGACTCCTGGGTGCAACGGCTACCAGCACGTAACCTCCAATGACCGACATTCTTCCGCCGTTTCTCAACGTTATTGCGACCTACGCAGACCTAGCAGCTGAGCGCGTCGACATCAATTATAAGGATTTGAGATACAAGTGATTAGGATCTGAAATGTTCATCATATACTTCTTATAACTTCAACCATTCCGGGCTTCTACGTGTATCACTTGTTGATGAGCACGAGTATGACCACGGGTGAGTGTATCAGAACATGGTGTTATTTATGTCATATTTATACCATCAATAGGTGCGGATCGTTTCGCATTTGTTTCATTATTGATTGGGGAACAAGTGCACCAATCGTGGAGGCAATAGTTAGAAGGCGGGTCCCGATCCTATTGAGACTAGTCTCAAAGAAATCAACAATGAGGTCCATGGTGTGCATGGAAAGGAGGGTGTCGCAGGCAAGTGCGAGGCGGTTAAGGAGGTGGGTCGCAAGGAGGTGCAAAGAGAGATACATTGGGGGGCGTGTTCAACGAGGTCGTCAACAGTGCAAGCAGCGCGGAAGCTAAAATTAAGTGAGGTCAGCAACAGTGGAGATAGCAGGAAGATTAGGGAAAAAGGAGGCGAACCATTGTAGCTAATAATCGCATTCAGACATGCTTTCGACGTCTGGACTTGGCGAAAATGCACCCGCTTGGCCGGCGGCATGAGGCCACCAAGAGCAAGGCGTGCAGAAACGTTACGCAACTCCCAAGCTGAGTACGCAAGCCGGAGCACACGGTGAGCCTCCTGCTTGTCAGTAGCAAGCGCGGGCGGAGCAGCGAATGCGGGCGCGAGCACGGCACGGCAGGCGCGGGCGAGGTAGTCACACCAGGTGCAGTATGCGCAGACGTTGCAGGAATAGGCGCGGTAGGAGGAGCAGGCGCGGTGGGGTGCAGCAGGTGCGCGGGCGCTCGGCAGGGCGCGGGGTGCACGTGACAGCAAGGCGCACATCAGGGCACGGCAAGGCACACGGGTGCGTGGCAACAGGGCACGGTGGTGCAATACAGTAGGGGGGGGGGGGGGGGGGGGGGGGGGGGGGGGGGGGGGGGGGGGGGGGGGGGGGGGAGGAGGGAGGGTGGGAGGAGGGGGGGGAGGTGGGGGCCGTAAGCGAGGACAACAAGGGAGGTAGGTGGGCGGAAGCTAGAACCTAACCCAATGAGAGAGAAAGACTAGGAAAGGGCCATACAAGAGGGTACAAGAAATAACCCGTACTCTCCACCGTACAAACCAACCCAGCCTAACACTATACACCTATTGACACACCTCAGATATGATAGGCCATTTCAACATGCATGAATCAGTGGTGACTTTCAATTATATTTCAAAATTTTGTGGTCTGAATGAACAGACTTCGCCTTGCAGGTCTTCGCAGAAACCATGACGACGGGTACACATAACCTCACTATATTGGGTTGCGACAGATACATGGATGGCCACAATAACGACGCAACCTTGATCTGTACAACTTTCTATACTCTGTACATCCTTTGGAGAAAAACAGAGGAATTTAAGATGACCGTTGCTTGCGATCCATCGAGAACTCCTCAGATGACCACCACGCACGCTCGTCCATCGAGGCACGTGGAATCGATCGGACCCGCGTTTCCGAAGCGCTGTCGCTGTGGCCGGCGACAGTGGAGCGCAGGGATGAGGAGGAAGGGAGAATAGCCGCCTCAGGAACCCAGTTGCCTGACACGGGGTCGGGTTTCCAGAGAGTCACACCAGCGAATGGATAGCGCATTTCGGATGCAACGACCGGCGTTGTCGAGGTGGACTTAGTCGAGGACGTTACTTCCGTGTGGAAAGCCCTCTCGAGAGCGACGGGGGTGGAGTGATACCTGCTTGATACACGCACATTGGATAAACAGGAATCAGAAGTGAGAACTACGAAAAACGCAAGCGAGACAGGTTAGACCTTTTGGAACAGGAGCAAAGCAGGCGAGGGATAATTGCACGGGATGAGAGAGGCCGGACATTGCCATAAGATACTAATCGTCCAGTGTCACTGGCATATTCGTTGAACATACCTTCTGACGAGCTTCTCCATCATCCGCGGGCAGAGATCCGCAGCCTTCTTGGCGGCTGTCGCCAGCAACGGTGACGATGAAGTGGTAGCCATCGTGACGTAGATCCAACGGTAACGCGTCGTAATGCTTGAAAGCGAAGACTTGACAGAAGTTCGAAACCTGCAGCTTCGGCTAGTGGGTAATGATTCCGGAAGCCAATGCAGCAGCGTCAGCCCCGAAGCCCCGAATTGTGGCGGAGATGGTGGCAGTGGACAGTGGAAGAGGAAAGGCTATGTGGAATGGAATTCCGAGGTTGGAGCTTGCAACACGGATGGCGAGGAATAGTCGGAATTGCGCAGGCGAAGTAGCGGCGACGGGGAAAGGAGAAGCGTTTGCTGTTGGATGAATTGGACTTCGAGTCCCAAGGGATTATAACACTCTCTGGTCTGCTCAGGTTGCTGCTGCGCACCGACTCGCTCGACTCGACTCGAGTCGACTCTCTGGGAATGACGGCTGGGAAGGGGAGGAAGGGGGGCTTGCGGTAGCAACAGGCGGAACACCGCTCGTTGGTGGTCCCCGCCGGGGGGGATGCTCCAGGGGAGGGGCGTGTCCCTCCCCGGAGCTCACGCCACATCAAGCCGTTGCGGTGGAGAAACCAGCCCACCTGCGCAGGAGCACCCGCCCATCCGGAATCGGAATTCCCGCAGGCCCCTAATTCCCGCACGATTAGTGCGGCAAGGTTGGAGATTCCCAAAGATTCGTTTCCTAGCGAGGGGCGATGGCGACGCGAGAGGTTCGCATTGCCCCACCTCATTCCTATCCGCGGTTCGGTGCTGGATTTGAGGCGAGATGGGCCATATCCAGCTGGGTAGGATGTTCGTTGCGTCACTCGTGCGTGATCCTTCCATGCCATCCAGCCTGGGCGATGAGCTTATGACGTGTTTGGATCCACGTCTGCTTATGCACCTTGCTGACGTTGATGGGCATGGTCAATGCCTACAGGTGAGTCGTGGCGATGTTAGTGGTCCCGTCAATCGTGGCCCACTCCAGCTCGGAACCACGAAGACGCAAACCAACCACGAAGATATTATGGAGCTGAACTGGCTGCGGTATATTTCGTCTACTTTCTGTATATATCAAACACTGCTTTGCATATCTTCTATTCTGCTAAGTTATAGGTGACAAGCCAAAAGGAACAAATATGTACATCCTGGAGCACAACGCATACGGAAAATAACGAGCACTGCCCTATCGCTGGTTGTTCACACACGCCTACCCAACCAACCTAAGCAACACCAGACAATATGACGCATAACACATCTTTCAGCAAACCAGTAACCCTGCCATGGATGAAGATTAGAGCACCCCTTTAACACGCCACACCAAACCACACCATATGTACAGCTGCCAATGTACGCTCACCAACCGAGGATTTATATTACACTAAAAACCTTCTTGCGACCCCAGCTCGGAATCTCAAACCAAATAACTCAACATCAACACGTTACAACGATCCACCCCACACACCAACACTTTCCTCAACCACCCCACCTCCCTTCCTCCCCCACTTTGCACAACTCTTCCTTCCATCACCCCCTCTCCACATCACACATCATCCTCCAAGGACCTTTTTTTGGCTCCCAGGTGCTGCTGCAGGCGGTCGGGCTGGGGGGGAACCACACCGCTACGGAACAGCACAGCAAGGGCCTTGGATGACTGGCACACCTTGAACAGCTGGGGCAAAGATTGGGTGGAAAGGAGAGGGTACGAGGGGATTTGATAGACGATAAATTACGAACTTTCTGCCAGTCATCAGCACTCCATTGGTAACCAGGCTCAGCAGATGCAGGGCAATGGTCTAGTCACACGAATAAAAGGGTGATTACCTTCCAATATAGCACGTTTTTCATACTCAATAGTCCAGCTCTCGATCCCTGTACAACACAACTCACATCATTGCCGAAGCACAGCTCAAGCACAATACATCATGACTCGAGGTCACCAGACAGAGCAACTCACATCCTTGGCTTTAAACTGCGCCACTCCAAGGCAGTTGTGGCCCTGCCCCTCCAAGAGACTGCAGTACTGCGCTGCCTGCTGCTCGTCCTCAAACACCTGTCACGACACATGGATGGTGGCATGGGTGGTGACATGGGTGGCGACGAGGAAAGGTGAGGTAAAGAATTCGTGAGGAAAGTCAGAGAAGGAAACCCCACAAGTCAGACTCAGAAGTTAACTTGAAATGAAACGGGAGGAGGAAGGGAGGGGGTGATCCGTACCAGGACACCCTCCCGCACATCCTCCACTTTCATTGAGAAGCGAGAACGTGTGGGCGAAGCAGTGCAGGTGCCACTGCTGCCACCACCACCGCCACCGCCACCGCCACTGCTGCTACTCTTCCCACTTGCACCAGTTGAGATGCCTCCCTTTCTGCCTCTCCTCTCCCCGAACAGCTTATCCAACTCGCTCTCCACCTCGCTGAGAGATGCAAAAAAGACAAAACGGACACACAGGGACGGAGAGAGGACAACCAAGTGAGGCTGGGATGCGGAGCTGGAATCAAGGCGCCTCATGAACAGAAGCTGTGGGCTATCAGGAAGTTGCTAGCTAGAGAGGGGGATGCGAGAGCAGAGGGATAAGCAGCAATTCTGTGGTTTGCCTATGAGGAGCAAGGTTTCTCAAACCCAGAGGACAGGAACCATAACTCAATGGTTCAAAACGATAACCCAGAGAGGTGTTCGTAACGGAAGATGTTTTTTGAGAATTCTAAAGAAACACCTGCAACATAATGGTACAGCATCATCTCATGAACCAGCACGTTCAATTCCCCCTTCCGCCCTTGTCATTTAAGCCGCATCCGTGGTCAACACAGAACGAGCAGAACCAGCAGAACCAGCAGAACCAGCAGAACCAGCAGAACAGGCAGAACGAGCAGAACGAGCAGAACGAGCAGAACGAGCAGAACCAGCAAGAACCAGCAGAACCAGCAGAACAGGCAGAACGAGCAGAACCAGCAGAACCAGCCTGTGGTTCACCCAAGACATTCACCTCATTACCTCCTCCTTGAGTGTTACCTCCCCATCACTACCACTATGCTCCCGTTTCTCCTGCATACCTCCTCTTCCTCCTCCTCTTTTCATCCGCCCCCCTCCCCCCCCTCTCTTTCTACGTTACTCTCCCCGTCCCATGCGCGACCTCCCCCACTTGCGCGGAGTGCGGACGCGCATGGAGCGACGCTGGGCCTCCACCCTCTCTTCGCCCCCCTCCCCCCCCCCCTTCCCCCTCCGCCCACACCCACCTGCGCGGAGTGCGCGTGCGCATGGTGTACAGCTGCGCGTCCCCCTGCGCCAGCACGAACAGCGCCTTCGACGGGTCGCGCCACGGGTTCGAGTCCACCACTGCGCGCAGCGGGAAGGTGGCGGGGCAGAGCGTATGGCGGAGGGCGGAGGATGGAGCGGGGAGGGTGGAAGGGGGAGGGGGGAGGGGGGATAACGGGTAAGAGGTGGGTATGTATGGGAGGGGGGGGGGGAGAGGAGAGCCCACATGAGGCCATTGACATGACTTTCCAAATTTCTCAAAAGGCGGCGGCGGCGGCGGCGGCGGCGACTCACCGTCGTACGACGTGGATTCCAGGGTGCTCTCCAGCCGCCGCCGCATGTCGTACGCGCGGCTCGACACCTTATCCAGGAACTCGTTCGCCGTCTCGGGAATGCTCGAGTCCAGCCCCAGCGCGCGCAGCAGCTCCTCCTGCCGCTCGCGCTCCGCCTCGTCAATCTCCTCCGCCTCCCCCTCCCGCGCCTTTCCCTCTGCCGCCTCCTCCCCCGCCTCGTCCTCGTCACTCTTCCCCTCACCGCCTGTCCACTCGCTGTCCCCCCGGGCGTTCCCCAAGCTTCCCCCACTGCCCCTTCCCCCACTCCTCGCCCCTCCGCTGCTTTCCCCCCCGCTACTGCTCTCCCCTTCGCCGGAACTGCCGGCGTCAGATGCGGACGCGCGGGCGGCAAACGCGGCGAGCGGCCGGGGGGAAGCTGCTAGTAGCGCGCCAGTAGGACGCAGTGCGCATGACGAGGAAATAAAGCTTGATGAGGGATCGAGGAGCGGAGGAGCGGAAGAGGAGGGGAGAGGAAGAGATGTGAGCGGGTGACGCGGCCGTAACAGCGCGGCGGCAGCGCGCGCAGCTGGCGATGGCGACGCCGCGGAGCGCGCAAACGGCGGCTTGCGCTCGTCGGCGAGGGGTAGCGGGGAGCAGGCGGAGCGGGAGGGAAGAGCGCAGGCAGCGGCGCAAGGGACGGCGCAAAAGACGGCGCGCGCGGAGCGGGGGGAGTCGGAGAAAGAGAGGGAGGAGTAGGAGGACGAGCGAGATGAGCAACAGGAGGAGAGGGAGGCGCGCGCGACATGCGGAGAAGTCAAGGATTGCGGCCCGGAAACTCTTGCGCACGGAGAAGCGCGAGGGGCCCCATGGGAAACGGAGACGGAGACGGAGACGGAGAAGGAGACGGTAACGGGAATACCACGAGAGACGGAGGCGGTGATGGGAACACCACGGGGAACCACAAGATTTGTTTCGGCATGGCGGTGATTTGTCGTAGATGTAAGAGAGAGCGTTGGCGCGACGGGATTCGCGTTGACAAGCGTACGGAGGCAGGAGGACGCCATCGAAATTGCCGAGCACGGGATGCCGATGAAGGGCGACTTTTGGATCTCCTCAACACGCGGCAGAACGGAAGGAGGACGCGCGGTCCGCAGGAATGAACGCAGTCACGGAATAGCGGCGATGATAAGGAGATTAATTGGATGGGACAGAAAACCGTACCAAATCAGGAATGAAAATCAGGAACCTAGCCCAAGTGTTTTGGACTTCGCGATTTTGACAAAGAGAAAGTTCGCGGCGATGCAGCGGGGACCGCTTGTCGCGAGCAGCTCTTTCGGCCGGAGAGGAGTTTGGATTAGGCAACAGCGGGACGCATGGACGCCAATGGAGGAGCGGAAGACTTGCGCGCGAGCACAGGGAGGAGCGATGCAAGAAGAGTGAGCTTACGGAGGTCTATGTATAAGTCCTAAGGGTCACTGCGGGAGAAACGCTGCTAGCAACTCCCAGCCTGTAGGCGGGCAACAGAAGTCGCAAGGGAGTCGCAGGGCTTGCAACTGTGGTATGGTATGCTGGAGATCACACGGTTTATTCGGATGCTGTGCGCTTTAAGGCGGTTAATTGTCTAAACCGAATTGGACCGCAATTCACCTTTGTGAACATTGATGCAAGCAGTGACGCGCACTCGCATCGCATCAGTTCCGACCATGCTTCCTGAAATGCAACCTCCAGCTCCGATGTGCAGCGAATATAGTAAACAGCACATCGCATAGCCCAGTACAGTGGTAACCAGCGCCCTGATTTTGCTTCAACGAGACGAAGTGCAGTGCCTTGCGAAGGTTCGGGAGAACACACCTTTGATCTTGCCTCGGATTGGCTTCTGAGTTTTTTGAGAGATTGGCGCGAGGTTTGGTAACAAGCGCGGGTGGCTGATTGGAAGAGCACGTTATGCAACCAATCGGAAATGACACTTCGCAGTTGTGTTTGGCTGGAGTTCCCATAGATGTCGCGCCCAGCAGCCAATAATTCTGCTGTGTTGCCACATGCTTGGGAATGCTATGCAACGATTGGACCCCATACTTGTGGAGATATTGGCTCTAGGGGGACGGGACGCCTAGGGAGACAGCTCCCCGAGGAGGAAGGTGATGTGGCAGCGCGGAAGAAAATTGGCAGATCTGTCACGAAGTGCTTGTGATGAGCTGGCCTCCTGAAAGGACTGACACTGGAAAGTGAGTAGTCAGCTGTATCGCGTACACCAGCCAGCACCACCGGACATTTTTATTAACATCAACATCGAAATTCTAGCTGGGTATCCGCCTCATATCCGAAAATTCATTAGGATCGTGTTGAGACGAGAGTCTATCGAAGCGATGAGACCGGGCTCATGCCGCACTCTTTCCTGCTTGATGCCCTTGGCAGCGGCGCGACTGCCTTGCGGGGGCTCTTGTTCTGGCAGGTCAGATACTCGCCCCAAACCATAGTGGTGCTGTTCTGTTGGAGTTCTCATCGCCGTACCGTTGGTGGATTTGTAAATTTCGTATTAAAGCCCAAGACTGAATTACAAAAAAAGGAAGGCAAACTGTGCACAGTTTGCCTACCGAACCCACAGTTGACCTCCCGAGCCAGGCTGGTTACCAGAAAACATTGCGCCAAGAAACACAGAGTCGTAGAGCAGAACAGGTTTGGTTGGCGACAGTCCCAACCACATCCTCCTGAAGGAACAAGGGCTCAAAATGTGCACAGTTTGCCTTCTTCGGTAATTCAGGTCGCGTGATTTCCATAGTACGCGAAGCGATTAGAGTATGCGAAGAGATAGAATGAAACGCCACTACAGCATAGGCCATGAGCATTTTCACTTTTATTCCTAGCTCTTTCCCAAACATCGCATTTGGACCTATCGCCTTCCGCGTCCCCCACGCTTCTCCCCACCGTCTCTCACACACCTCCCCACGCACCGGGAAGTGAAGGCGACGAGAGGGGGAAGTGAAGGCGACGGGAGGGGGAAATGAAGGCGACGGGAGGGGGAAATGAAGGCGACGGGAGGGGGAAATGAAGGCGACGGGAGGGGGAATTGAAGGCGACGGGAGGGGGAAGTGAAGGCGACGGGAGGGGGAAGTGAAGGCGACGGGAGGGGGAAATGAAGGCAACGGAAGAGGGGGGGGAGTGAAGGCGACGGGGGAAAAGTGAAGGCGACGGGCGGAGCGAAGGCGACGGGCACGCGGCGAGCTGCGGAAGCGATGGCGACGACGCGGGCGAAAGAGAGCGGAAGCGTGGGAAAGGAAAGCGAGGGCGAGGGGAGGGTCACGTTTGGGCGAACGGTTGCGATTCGATTTTCGCCACGAGTTTACGCTACGGAGTAGTTGCACAATAACCTGCATTTCGACACATTAATCTTCACCCAGCGCAAACTAGCTTTGCGCGTCATCATTGCAAATCCGCGCCACCCAAATCGTATGGCGCATCTACTCCCTTTTGAGTGAACGCCGACGCCCTGCCCTGTCTACAGGTATGGTCTATGCCTAATACTCTGCGTGCTATCTCAAACTGTGCACAGTTTGATAAGCTCGCGCTTTTCTGGTTGTGGGAAGGGCACCAACCATCATGGGAAGCGAGATACTTTTGTCGCAAATTGGTTTTGCGAGTGAAAATCTCTCGCAACCCAACCGAACCTTTCCGTGCCTGCCTCCCGAACCTAGTATTTAGCGTTGACTTCCGTTGAGTAATTCATGTCTTGGGCTTTAACTTCAGGTACCTTTTTGGTTGACTTGGCAACACATAGAGGTTCAGTTATAACCGAGGTAAACTTCTCGTTTGAACAACTCAGCCAAACTCGGGTCTGCCCATCGGGAACCCGGTCTGGCAGAAATGTGAACGGAGGGTAACCTCTCCCCCCCTTCCTTCCTCCACCCACATAGGTTTCGAGCAGCAAGGACTCGAGAAAATATTTTCTTGAAATTTGATTTCGGTCGGTGGTTGGGCGTTCAAGCTGCCCTGAGCAATTTTTCTGGCTTTTTGTTCCAGCCTCGTTTTCAGTGGTGCGGAGGTGATTTCACCTCAAGAGGTCAAACCAACGGTGCGGACCAATTGCCTGGCGAGGAATTGGCGTGGAACAAACGGGCGGTTCTAGTACAGTGTCACAAAGGTGCTGTTCTGCATGTTTTCTTGGTTTTCTTGATGCGCCCAGCTTCGGACAGTGCCCAACCTGAACCGACGCACCACTGGTGCGGATGAAAGAATCCGCGAAGGCCATTTTTGGCCAAAAGAACAGCGCCAGTATCCCGTACCATGCAAGGCCTCGGGTTTTGGCAAGTAAACTCACCTTCCACACTGTTACGATAAGGAATTAAATTAACATTCCTGTAAGTAATAGTGCCAAGATACTACCGAGGAAGAAGACTAAGGGACAAGATAAATATAGGGTCGCATACGATTGGGCCATTCTCACCATTTGTTACGGGTGCAATGAATCGAAGTAGCGAGAATTGCACTAAGGTGTCAAACGAGTACAAAATGTGAGCGAAGGCATGAGCGAACATTTATATGCGAAACATGCAAACGGTAACGCGATGCGTGCGAGCTAGCTAGTGCTACGCTGGCAGCGAGGCTCGGGCTAGTCCCGAAGCGTAGGCCGACACGGCCGGGCCAGCAGTGCGAGGTTTGGTGAAACAGTGCGCGCGAAGTCGGCGAAGCCCCGTTAGCAGTAACGGGCGAACAACGGCTGCTGCTGTACGCGATGTTGCAAGGCGCGCTAAGGAATATCGAGAAAATTCCTTACACTACCCCCCCCCCTCAAGAAGCCCCCTCCGCTACGCG